CAACAACAGGTACTGCAGGCGGGCTAACTCTGGCTGGTCACCCCCTCCATCTCCTCACCCTCCTCCTTCCCCTCCCCCACACTGCTGCAGGAGCAGCAGAGAAGGGGGGAAGAGAGGAGAGGTGGAGGGACGGCTGCTGGTTGCCTCACACCCGCCACCCCGGTGCCACTCCCCCTGCTCCCCCACACCCTCACACCCTCACACCCTCCCCCCCAGCGGCAGCTGCAGCAGTGGGAACGAAAGGAGGAGGAGGGGAAGGGAAGGAGACGACCCAACACTTCAACACCCGCCATCCCCATACCCTCCTCCCCACGGCTGCAGGGATCCAAAGGAGGAGGGGGTGGGCGGGAAGAAAGCCGCAGAGGGGCTACATTGTGTCGGCGCAGATAGGTCAGGGGCGGTTGAAGGGATAGCAGGTGCGGAGAGGCCCGTCGCGTGCCACGGGGCGCACGACGGGTAAGTTTAAGTTTAGGGCCCGGTCGTGTGCCTCGGGGCGCGCGACGAGCAGGGCACCGTCGCGTGCCACAGAGCGCACGACGGGCAGGTTTAGGGCGCCGTCGCATGCCACGGGGCACGCGACGGGCAGAGGAGTCACTCGCCAATCGGGGGCGGGACAAGACGAAAATCGCCACGCGCCCTAGGCGCGCGACCAGGAAATATAGCAGCGGAAGCATATTGGCGGGCCCACAAGCCAGGACGTAAATCGCTCTGATAGCATATCGAAGTTGAAACGAGAATGTCCAAGTTTAACTAGGGCCTAGGCGTAGGAGCCTAGGCCCAACTAGGATATCGAGTAGGTTGTTCCAAGGTGTGAGTCGAGAAAGTTGGGAATGGGGTTTCACTATAGGTTTCGAAGAACATATAGCAAAGGAAACAAAGAAGGTGCACCACCAAACAAGTTTATAATAACTACACTAACTACAGCTACAGGCAGTTACAATAATAAGTTCTGACATGTCGGCCTGCGTTCCCTCCTCTAGTCAGCCCTTCTTCACAATCAGCATCAGCAATTTCTGAGGTGCCTCAAGAATTTACCTTCTGGATAGAATTTATATCCCCATCGAAACATGCCGAGGCGCTCATACACCCTATGGTATATGCGTGAGGCCGCATTCTTTCCTTCAGTATCAGCGCATATAGCTCCAATGTCGTCTTGTGATCCACTTGCGAGGACAAAGAAAGAAGGCCGTTGACAGTGGCCACGTCTGCTGGTATTCCTTGGGCCCGCCGTTTGTGATATCCCTGCAGGACCTTGTCAAGGCTGTGAACAGGCGTAGGGATGTGTTGAGGGGAGGAGCGGCCAAGGGGGGGAGGACCGGGCTGTTTCTGGAGGGTCAGAATTTTTCTGTGATACTCCTACAGGGCCTTGTTGAGGCTGTGATGTGAACAGGCATTCGCACGTGTTGAGGGGAGGGGCGGGCAATGAGGGGAGGGAAGAGGGAATGAGGAGGCGAAGTGTGGGGGAGGATCGAGGGAAGGATGGGACGGATAGGGAGACATGGCAAGGACCGGGGTTTCACGAGTGGAAGGAATGGAATGGGGGGACAAGAGATGGTAAGGGAAAGGGGGGGTTATGAGTGGAGAGAAGGGTTACTCTATGCATGTCCCTATGTATCTCTTGTCTCCGACCGGCCTCCCTACGCTTATACTGTTATACCGCCCTCCCTACCATTTTTCCATTCTACCATTCTACCATCCTCTCGAAGCAAGCACTAGGAACAGTTGGATGCGAATCTAGAAACAAAAGATGTTGTTGTTGCTGCTGCTGCTGCTGCCGCTTCTACTGCCACTGCCGCTGCCACTACTGCTGCCGCACTGCCCCTGGAGCTGTTGCTGCTGCATGCTCACCAGACTTGCACGCTCACCAGACTTGCAGGCTATCTCCACGCTCAACAGAATTGGTGAGGGAGAGAAAAGACATGGTCGCATCGACGAAGGACTTTATAAACAAAAGATCCTGCTCCAGCTGGCGGAAGCAAAGGAAGGTGGTGGATCCACACACTCACTCAAGAAGGACAAAGTGTGGGAAGAAAAGGAGCACCACATTTCAGCGAGACAGGTGTGGGAGAGAGACAGCTTTCATAATTATTAGCAAGAGGCTGAATTGACACGAAGTGTATCACCGTCAATTCAGTGTCAATTCAGTGACACATGCGTTACAGACAAACCAAACCGATACATCAGTGTGCATGTGACTCCCCTCCCGCTGCTTATTATTATTAGTCCCGATGCTGCGTGCATGCACTACTCTCTCACACATACACAATTAGCATATACTTTTTAGGCGCCTCACAATTGTGTGGATGGTTCACTTTCATGCACACAAAATAAGCAACGAACACACAACGTGTCCTACCCACCCACCTACCCTCCCTCTTACCATGTGATGCCACCCACCACTCTACCCACCCTGCTCGCTCACTCACCTCGTGGAGCAGGCATCATTACCAGCAGGTACCACTCACCTCCTCCACGCTCTTCTGGACTGGTTCTTGCTGTGGCAATGATGCCAATGATGCATCTGTGGCATTGACAGGTTGCCGTTACTTCTGAAGATTCTCAAAAGAGAATTCTCAAAAGCATTACCAGCAGGCACCACTCACCTCCTCCACGATATTCTGGTTTGGTGCCTGCTGTGGCAATGATGGTGACGATGATCCATCTGTGGCACTGACAGGTTCGCTTGCACGACTAGGGGGGTGTGTAGGGGAAGGCCGGGGAGGGGAAGGGGGAGCGGGGGGGTGGGGCTTCAGGAAAGCGTGTAACCAGGGTCAGAAAGAAGTCGTGTTGTGCTAGATAGAGAGGCTTCACTTTGTCGCACGAAGTGTTCACTCAAGACAAGACAAGAGAGCGACAGTGAGCTCATTGGGTTGGGATAAATGAAGTGGAGCTTAATGCATGCATGGTGACCTCAAGTCCTCTCACCACGCATGCGTCACCCATCTCCACGCATGCATAACGCATTGCACAGCACTGTCGGATCGGGGTAAATTAACCAAACCAAACGCAGCAAGCAAGTGCCTCCAATCCAACCCCACAGATCCTCCTGTTGCAATGAGTGCTGCGTGTGTCATATTCTTTGGCCAGTGAGAGTGCTGCTAAGAACTTGTCCATCCCAGTACTCGCCTTCACCAGCTCTGGGTAATACTGATGGGTGGGTGCACAGATACATGTCACGATGAGAGAAGGCGTGGCATGGGATGGGATAGCATGGCTGCCAGAGAATATTCTTTAAAAAAATCGCAAAATACGCCTAATTTGAGAAATAACTTGCGGATGGAGAAAAAAAAGCGACAAAAGGGCTGACTGTTGACAAAGCCTCCCTCCACTCCACCACATACCTTCCTTTCCATCACTCACTTCAACACATTCTTCTCTGGTCCAATTCCATCCTCTATGGTCCATGATCTGTGAGACCCCGCCGCCACCCATTTGCCATGGTCTGGCAAGCCTTGACTCCTCCTTCCTGCCCGCCAATTCTGCTGCCTGTTGCGCTGACGCCGACGCCGACGCAGAAGTTATCATGAATGGTTGGATCAAAAGGTGAGGATGGAAAGGGAACTCTGAGTTTGAAATTTATGGGGGTTGATGGTGCGGAGGTTTATCTGCTAAGAGGAGGGGAGTTTGTTCCAGAGGACATGGTTCAGGGAAGCGGGAACGTGATAGTTGAAGTTGGAGTGTGTTTCAATCGAATACATAAGAACGACAAATATTACAAAAAAAACGAAACATATATGTCCTGGAGGAGGTTATTTTAAGCGAGTGATTGGGAAGGTAGGAGGAAGTTTAGATCCAGGAAAGATGAACCTATGAGTAGGATTTTGGGGCCATTACTTTGGATTCAGCCTGGTTATAAGTCAATTAAATCTGACAATTCTAGCAACCTGACCGGACAAGAGCATTGTTAAGGGGTCGCCGAGCGGACCCAGCACCGCGGGATAGAAAAATAGGCTGCTAGACGGGGTGGTCGCGTAAAGATCACGGTAAGAGCGACAAGTGACCAGAGGGAAATGTGGACAGAATTACAACGCGAGGTGAGGCGTACTACGGGAAGGAGAATGCGAAAAGGAGCGAGCGGGTGGGAAGGAGAAGACCGGGACCGGGTGCAGCGGAAGAAGAGGATTGATTCATAGTTGCTGGTGCTCGCGGGACATTTCTCGATTTGTGGGTGTCTCTAGCAGTACCTGGTTGTTCTGCTTGGACGACAGGCGGCTCGTGTTACGCGATGACGAGACGCGGACACGAGCGGATGATAGATTGCGGAGCAGCAAAGCCGCCATGCCGCTGGGATTGTGGAAACAGACTAGGCAGATACAGGTAGGGAATAGTGGAAGAGACATACATAAAGCGGTAATCTTCAGTGTGGAAACCAGGAACAATCTTGTTCAGTAAGGGCGTGTGCAGTTGCCAGTTCTCTATAGAAATGTGGCGATTACGAATCGGAAGTAGAGATCTTTGTAAAATAAGTCCCAAACGAGGTGCTAAGCGCGGTCCATAATTGCACACATATGAATAAAGAAGGGCATCCTGTTGGGTCTGTTTTCGAATTACATTGAAGTCTGTAGAATTGGGGGCCTCTTGCGGATCACTGCACCCTTAACATCGTTTCGCACAAACGAGTTCATTTTCTGGTTTGTGACGAATGCGGATGACGCTAGAGGAACACGGCCTTGTCAGTAGTCGGGTTTTAGCTTACCACTGACGCTGACTGATTTTCATCACGAAAGAAGATTAGTAGCAGGGCCGCGTACTTGAACGAACGGTGTATTTGTCGATAAGTCCAGTTCGAGTAGTCGTCCGCAAACACGTCAAATACTCGCCTCGCCGCCAGTTTCAGTTTGTCGAACGCTGACCGTTGCCTGAGTCGCGGATTCTCGGTAACAATCGCTGATAGTCGCTGCAAATAGCTCTGACTCGCTCGTCAGTAGTCGCGCTGCGAAATTCGCCAGCTGTAAACGCAGACGTCGTAGACTGTCGCCCATGCCCGTCTTGTCGCCACGATGCCGCCATTGTCTCATCTCCCCTTCACCATATCGGCGGACGCGCTGCTGATTCTCCGATCGCACCGCATAGCCACGTGTAAGCTGCTTTCTCCCTTTGCGTTTCACCGTCTCCCGTCTCCCTTTCCGTTTCCCCATCTTCAGCTATTTTTTCTCCCTTAACCCCCCTTCCGTCTCTCAATCTCTCCCTCTTCCTTCCTGTCTGCCTCTTACTTTGATCATCTCTCCATGAACCCTGCGTTCGCGGCTTCTGTGTGTGTGCATGCGTGGTCCATGCACTGATCTTGCATGCGTACATGCTCCGAGGATGGTTGGTGTGTGAATGCGTGCACAGTTCTTTGGTGCATGTATGCTTGGAGGATGGTTCATGGAACTTGAATTGGCTCTTGTGTGCATGCATGCTGGGGGGGCGGGGGGGGGGCGTGGAGTGGAGCATGCTTCGGGGGATGGGTTGTTTTTATGTGTGCATGTGCGGGCGGGCGGTGATGCATGGAACTTGCATGCCTGCGTGCATGCTTGGGGGTTGCATGGAGTGGAGCAGTGGAGGATTTCATCATGGCGGATGCTCGCATGCTTCGGAGGGATGTGGAGGGCATGCCGCATGGCCAAGCCAAAGAGGACGTTTTGCAGGTGATGGTTATGAGATGCTGATGGTGATGGTGATGATGGTGATGTTGATAGGGGACATTCACATGTGTTCATGTGTGCACGCACCTATGTGGGCGTGACATTGCTGTCATTCAGGTTCATTGTGTAAGCAAGTTCTCCTTTGGCATGGATGCGCGTGGATGTGCATGGATGTGCGTGGATGCGCGTGGATGTGCGTGGATGCGCGTGGATGTGCGTGGATGCGCGTGGATGTGCGTGGATGCGCGTGGATGAATGTGGACCATCTCATCCCATGGCAGGCCATAGACAAGCTAAATCACCACATGGTGCATGCCATGTGCATGCCAGCACATGCCAGTGGGGACCAACTCCTGAGGAACCTGCACTGGGAGGGCTTGGACCAGGAGAACATTCTTGGGCGGCAGCAGGCACAAGGGCAGGGGCGACTCAAAGTAGACGAAGAGGCGAAGTGGCGTCACAGGGGAGAGCCATGGCAGGAGCAGTGGCAAGAGGGTGACGCTGGTGGTGGTGGGAGGCAGTGGCGAGCTGCTACAATCAGCACAGGGTGCTCTAGGTGAGACTGTGTTGCTGTGTGGTGCTGTGTGATGCTGTGCGGTGCAGTGTTTGTGGTGTGGTGTGATGTGGTAGGAAAATAGGGGTGAGCGCAGCAGCAGCAGCAGAAGCGACAGTGGTGGGATGAGTGTAACAGTCAGGTAGGCAAGAATGCATTTCACATTCATGACGCATGGTGCGCGAAACTGTGGTTCACATTCATGTCCACATTCTCAGCACCAAAAGCTATCAACCTTCCAACCATCCCACCAATGTCAACAAAGTCTTGAAAAAGTTGCAGATTTTCACGATCCTGCATTCAGTTTTCCTGCTATCACCATCTTATCTCATCCCTTATTCCCCCACCCATTCTGATCCTAGGCTCCTCCAATTCCCCATGTCCGACCATATTCATGCTAGTGTCCCAGTTACTTTTAAGTCGAAATCTCTCCCGCCTCTCTATTTCGCCCAACTCACCCTCCTGTGTCCCATCCATCCAGTCTCGATTCTCTTCTGGGCGGTGGCCTTCCCCTGGCTGCAGTGACTGAGATCACTGGCGCTGCTGGTGCAGGCAAGACGCAGGTGGGGTGGGGGCCGTGGGGCGACTAGAAGTTTGAGAATGTTCAGGCTGTCAGGAAAAACACTCTTTCAATACCCATGGACTGTGATGGGGGATTAAAGGGAATGGGTGTGAGGTATTGAGGAGGAAGGTGTGCGGGGATAATGAAGAACATGGGTGTGTGGAAATGGGCATTGTTGGTGGGAAACTCGGGACGGGCGAGACCTCATGACATGGTTGGGGAAACCAAAAGTGGGGGAAACACATGGTTTCACGGCACATGGTTTCACGGCACATGGTTTCACGGCACATGGTGATGACAGCCGTTTAATGTAGCACAAACTCTCCTCCCATGTGACAACCGTCGAGCGTAACACACACGTGGAGAGCCTCGTCCATCCCTCCTCCCACCTGTCTCCACCTGCTTCCCTCTCGCTCTCGCTCTCCCTCTCCAAACCCCCCACCCCCCCAGTTCTGTCTGCAAGCCGCGGCAGTTGCTGCAATCGCCCCACTGCTCGCCCATTCCAGTCCTTTCAAATCCTCTCAAACAAAACACAGCTCAGCCCCTCAAGGCAGCGCGCCGCCCGGCACAGGGTCGGCAGTGCCGCCCGGTGTACAGTCAACACCAGTGCCGCCCAGCTGGGGGTCGTCGGTGGCGTTTGTGGACACTGCTGGGAGCTTCTCTGCTGCTCGCATTGCCACTGTGATTGGGCGAATGATGGGGTCCAGGGAGAGATGCCAGGTGAGGTGAAGGGGAGGAGGATGTGATGGGGCGAATGGTGCATGCTGCACGCAGTACACCGTACACACCCCTTTCGTTTATCAACGCGGCTGGGAGCTTCTCCACCGCCCGCATTGCCACTGTGATCGGAAGAATGATGGGGTCGAGGGAGAGGTGCCAGGTGAGCGAGCGAGCATAGAGAAGGAAAGAGATCTGAGTGTGAGATGGGGTCCAATGCATGCTACAGAGCACAGTCCCTCTCTCCCCATTCATTCATCAGAGCAACTCACAGCTCCTCTGCTGCCCTCATTGCCACACACACTTGTTGAGAGTTGAAGGCAGGAATTGGTGTGGATGAACCATATATATGACATGCATTCCTCCATGGTGTCTCAGGAATCGAGGGCCGTTGTGACTCGAGCGCTGAAGGCGGTGGTGCAGATGAAAGCATATGACATACATCCCCCCACCTCCCGATACCGACTCTTCTGCCCCCTCTCAGGAATCAAGGGCCATTGTGACTCGTGCACTGAAGGCAGTGGTGCGGATGAAGGCCTATGACATCCACTCGCTGCTGCCCCTCCTTGCAACCATTGCACAGCACAAGAGAAAAGCCACTCAGGTGCGCGGGGCACAAGAGACAGCCACACCGGTTAAGGATTCGAATAAAAATCCTTAATCTGCTAGCTATCCTGGTTCCTGTACTGTGCATTGTCCTCAACACACACACCACGTAACCTTACGCCTCTCTTCCCTTGTCGTCCGCTCTTCCATGATCTCTTCCTGGTTCCTGTACTAAGCAGTCATCGGATTTCTTCTCTGTCCTTCGTCTGCTCATCATCGATTCTGCCTCTGCTGTTGTCTCCCCTGTGCTTGGGGGCCATGGTCCACAAGGTATGGATTTGGGAGGGGCAATGTGAAGAGGAGGGAAGGTGCTGCTGGTTGCAAATGACATATAACGTCGTGTTTCGAAAGTTTTTGAGTTTTTTGCTGGTTATCCTGCGTCCTCTCTCCTCACTTCCGTCTCTCTTTTTGCTCGCCCGCTTTCCAGGCCACGCTCTGATGATGAGTCTCAGTCGCATGATTCGTCTGCTGGCCAACGAGTTCGGGCTTGCTGTACTGGTAATTATTGCTGTCATTCTCTACACTTCACATTTTAGTGATTCCATATCTGTTTTTGTGTTTGTGTTCAGGTGATCCTATAGTGTATGCACCTTTGTAACCTTTTGTTTGTCGATGCGACATTGTTCGCAGTACGGTCAATCAAGGACATATTTATTGACCATCTTCTCTCTCACCTTTTTTTCTCTCCCGCCTGCCCTCCTCTCTTCCCCTTGGTTTCTATAATCAGATCACCAACCATTCAGTATCAAGTGAAGATGGCACTTTTAAGCCGGCGTTGGGGGAGAGCTGGAAGGTGACACCGCATGTAAGGCTCGTCTTGGATCGAGATTACGACTCTGATTACTGCCAGATCACGCTTTCAAGACACCCATCCTTGCCTGGTGGCGCATCTACAGTGGTGAAACTTGGGAAGTATGGCATCGTGCCAGCGGAAAATGGTGGATGAACTTGAGCCGGGTTTGATATTTGCTAGAAGTTCTGCCAACAACTTGTACATTTGTACAAAAGGAGCAGTCAATTTGGAGCCGTCATCTCGTTATCGAAATCCGCAGTACAAGAGATTCCTCTCGATAACATTCGACATCCTTCTGGCCCTTCGCGAAATCACACGCAGGCAGCCTCTCAAGTGCGCGCATCTGGCCGCAATTTCACTTGAGTCCGATTCCGCTCAATTGACGGCTAAGATTTCCTCGATCGTATCCTGTGTTTACACCTGCTGTATGTTCCCGAGACACTCGCAACCCGTCCAGTCCTTTCCACAGTGAAGAATAAACCGTCAGACTCGGATGAAGTTCCAAGTCTCTTGCGATTTTCTCACGAACTTATTGATCGAAAGCATGCCACGTGGCGATAATAAAACAAACCGCGATTCCGCGGAATTGAGCAAAACTCTCCCCTTATTCGGTATCTGATTCAACTCGTTCCCTCGTATCGCACAAACTTAGGCTATTTTTGCATTTGAAGCGGCATCTTCGCCGTTTTTTGCGTGCGTCTCCCAATGGCTGTCTGTCGCCTCCACGTGTCACTCCAATGCGTGTCATCTCAAGGACCTCACGCCTCGCTATCTGCGCCACGTCAGCCAGCTACGGCCGGCCAATGGGCGTCAACACCGTTCCATTCGTGGTCGACCTCGTTACAGTCAGCACCGAGAAGAGAATGTGGCGACGCATCGTCGAATTGTAGACGCCAGAGACGATTCTCACGGCTGTCAGCCGCAGCGGCTTCGAGCGACGACGCCTCCTCACCCGGTACCGGCAGTGAAGCCGGCGACGAAGCCGACGCGCTAACGGCGGAGTTCCTGCGCTTCGTCTCGGAGACCCAGCAGCAGTGGCCGCTGGCGGACCGGCACCCCACGGCGCTGCTTCCGCCCACCGCGGTGGTGCGCGCGCAGATGGACGCGCTCATGCGCAACGACTGGCCGGAAGCGGACAGTGGTATCCAGACGGCGTTCAACTTCGCCATGCCTCATAAAGTGGACGAGATCCTGCCTGGATCGGTGAGGTGTTTGTGATGCCTCACGAAGTGGACATCAGTTTGCCTGGGTCAGTGAGTTGTGATTGGACGAGTGAGTTGGGAGCGGTGGAGCTGAGAGTATGTTCCAATAGCATTCAACTTGGTAATGCCACGCAGAATGGGTGAGTTTTGCTTGAAAGGGCGAGGCTTGTGGGAACTCAATAGGACAACCCTGTTCCTTAAAGAGCCAATTTTTCATCCCCTTTAGCTCAACCACCCTCCCATCCTTCCAGGCCCAGCCGCTAGTGAAGAAAGCGCATTATGCGATATCAGCGCGAGCAGTACCTGTGTGTGGACCGGACGGCTTCAAGGCTCCCTCAACTACCCTCCCATCATCCCTCCAGGCCCGGACGCCAGTGAAGGAAACGAGGGCACGGGACGCCAGTGAAGGAAACGAGGGCACGGGACGCCAGTGCCTGTCTGAGAAAGGTTCTAAGGAGCTGTCTCACTCCCCTCAGTCCCTCCAAACCCGACCGCCAGTGAACGAAGCGTGGGACGCCAGTGAGCGGTACCTTTCTGAGGAAGGCTCTTAGAAACTGACTTTTCCCGCCCAGTCCCTCCAGGCCCGGCCGCCAGTGAAGGAGGCACGAGCGTGGGACGCTAGCGAGCGGTACCTGTCAGTGGAGGGCTTTAAGAAACTGCTGCGGGAACCCATGTACGCTGCCCTGCTGCACTGCGAGTCGTGGGAGGTGAGAGCCGATGCATGTGGTTTGACAAGTTCTGAAAGACCACGAGCCCATGAGTGCGTGTTGGATGTGCCTGTCTGTCTACCTTGACTCTAAGACGCTGCTGCGGGAACCCATGTACGCTGCTCTGCTGCACTGCGAGTCATGGAAGGTGAGAAAAAAAGGGGAAAGAAAGTAGGGGGGCGGGCACTCAGCAGCCAAGTTGCAAATCTCTGGGTACAAGAGTGAGAAAACCGAACCACATTACATCCATTTCCTGCTACCATAACTTCCGTGTCTTATCTGAACCCACCTAACTACGCGCATGATGTCCTTTGCCACATTTCCGACTTAAAGCCCAAAGCCTGAATTGCAGAGTTGGGGAGGTGAACTGGGCCCAGTTTGCGTCTGGCTACTACTAGGTTTCGGGAAAGAAGGGTTCGACAAAGTTTCCGAACCTCCAGCTCTCTACTTTCCCAAACCTTTTTTCCCGCGTTGACTTCCGTTGAGCAATTCAGGTTCAGCCCCTCAAGAGATTCTTCCCTGCCCTGCTATGTAAAGTCATGATTTTCTGCATGGCAGTTCGCACCCACCATGATGTTCCACGGCAAGGGCGACAGCAAGGCCGTGCCATTACTGAAGGTCCCAGATGCTAAATCCACGCCCTCCATGCTGCGTGGCAGTTCGCATCACCCATGGCTTTCCACGGCAAGGCCGACAGCAAGGCACTGCAGGCAGGGGAAGATTAGCGCTGGTAGATCCACGCCCTCTCTTCGCGTGTCCTATTTCCTTACTCCAACCCACCACGACTTCCCTTGTGGCAGTTCGCGTCCCCCATGGCTTTCCACGGCAAGGCCGACAGCAAGGCACTGCAAGCAGTGAAGGTCCGAGCTGCTCCCACTGCCGCCGTCACTCCCTCGTCATCTTCCGCTGCTACTGCTGTTGAGGCTGCAATGGATGGTGGTGCTGCTGATGGTGGCGCGGAGTTGCTTGGCCGGACAAGAGAATACACCTACACGTTCTGCTTGCAAAAGGTGTGCGTTTGGGGCGACACAGGGTTGTGAAGCTTGGTTAGGTGGTGCGGATGGTGGTGCGAATTTGATTGGGTGGACACAGGACAAGAGCGTACCCACAGGTTTTGCCTGCAAAAGTTGAGCTGTTGGAACGATCAAGTGGTGTGAAGTTTCATTTGAGAGCCGGGGTCTTTGGTGGTGCACTCAAAAGGGGTTCATAGAGACGAGTGTGCCATCATACTGAGGTGAATTTTTACTAGTATAATGGCGACAGAAAGATGTCATTTTCCAGAATAGGGAGGCTAGTTTGGTGGGGCAATCTACGGGGACTGATTTATGCACCTGTAGGGGCGCATCATTACTCTACGAACATTGTTACAGAGCTGGTTACTGCACAGACCTACTGAAGGTGGGGATTGACATTCTTTCATGGTCTGTTTGAGTCTCATTTTGCGCTGCTCCCACTGGTTCTTCCCTTTCCCTCTCCCCTCCTGGCTATCACCCCCTCTTCCCTCGCTGTATCCCTCTCTTACATCCGCGTAGTTAAACTCTCACATGCTGACACACAGGCACGTGCATGTGCGCACGCAACAATATGCATGAATCAGTATGTTGCTTTTGCATGCCGTTCGACATGCTCCTTATCCATGCCCGTCGGCGTCGTCCCATGCTCCTCGTCCCATACACCTCATTCCATGCTTGTGTGGCTGGCAGGTATTGGAGGGAGCCTTCAAGGGATGCTGGATGGTGGTGGGCCTTCGCGTAGGCGACTATGCCAACGTGTGACATCTGCAGTGTAGTATCTGCCCTTACCATAACTTGATGTGGAACACATCTTTCCAAGTTAACTACAATAATACCGTATGAAGTCAGATTTCACAGTGCTGTTATTATTTATAAGAAAAGTGTATTGGGCAGGTCTGAAAGAGGGTGGTAGTACCGTACATGATGTGCTGATTGTTGGGAACAAAAAGTCTTAAAGCGCCTCTGTCGTGTCGAAACACAGTACTCAAAGCGAAGCAGTCAGAATCGAAGCATCGCGAGTCAACCCTCGGAGGTTGGGAGTAACCGCCTGGAGGTTACACGAAGGTCAAAGACCAGCGACCTTTGACTTGACCAATACAGCGCGACAGCAAGGACACCCAAATGACTCGACATTGAGCAGTTGCCTGAGTCGCACTGTATCGAATCGCAACAGCAAACAGTTATCTCATCTATTCGTATTCCTTGTACTCCTATATAAAGCCTTGTACTTGTTTGCTTTAATCAACTTCACTCTGCCCTCACATACCAGCGCAAGGTGGTTCTAGATCTCTTATTTAACGCTTCCACTATTACAATCCTACTCAGCCTTTAACTCTATAAAGATCCTAGGGCTTCTCAGCCCAACATGGTATGAGAGCAGTTAGAGTTAAAAAATCCATTATTCAACAAACCTTACATCAAAGAAGACATGGCAACCAGAAAGGAGAGGAGCTCCTCCAACGGCTCCCCCGGTACTACTCCTACCCCACCACCTGTCTCTGGTCTACAGACAGAGGAAGGGACTGCTACCAGACCAGCAGCTGGGTCCACGGAAACTCCAGCAGGCTTCGATCCAAGCATGATGGAGAAATTTTTCTCCTTCATGTCCTTCTACGAACAACACCAGCAAGGGGCACCTGCGCAGTCAAACAACAGCAACAACAACAATGTGACCCCCATGAGTCTCGACGGGTCGTCCTACGCACGCAGGATTCAACAACAACAACAACAACCTACCTTTGCGCCGTACGAACCCCAGCGTGGTTCCGTCAGCTTCATGCCGCAACCGCAACCTGCATCGGGACAAGAAAAGACATTGGACGCGTTACAAGTCCAGTCGCAATTCGCGCACGTTCTCAAGCTGCAAACGACAAAGCCCTTCGATGGGAAGGACTTCTTCACCTGGTCATTCGAATTCGAATTGACAATGGAAGGAGCACAGATTCTCGGCTTCTTCGACGGTTCCCTGCCATACCCAACAAACGGGACACAATATGAAAAGCAGCAGTACACCTATCAATCAATGATGGCGTACACGATACTGCCAAGAAACATTACCCCGACCCAGCAGCAGAACATCAGGACTTACCGAGGCTACGGTAACTCCGCGGAGCTCGCGTACAACCACCTGAAGAACCTGTATCAAGCAACAGACAGCGTAAATCAAAGCAGGTTAATGGCGCAGCTGACAACGATTGAAATGAAACCAGGCGAGAAAGGCATGGCTTATATCAGCTGCTGTCGCGAACTGCGCGACCGGCTCCTTCGATGCGGAGGGTCAATCTCCGAAGACGCCTTCGTCACGGTGGTCATAGGCGGTCTTGGCCCCCACTGGCGCTCCACTCGCGCCATACTCCGAGCACACGGGAGAATCTCCGAAGCGGCACTCTGCGCCGAAATCCACGCCGAGCAGCAGGATATGGACCTGCAAGAAGAAAGGCACAAGAAGAAGTCATTAGCACCGGAGTTTGCGTTTCACACGCAGCGACGATACAACAATCGACAACAGCAACAAGTAACAGTACCTCCGTTCTGTCACATCTGTAAAACTTCGGGTCATCCGCGCACACACTGCCCATCTCGTCAACAGTCGACGACACCACAGCGACAACTCCGGCCTTCAAGCTCCCAAGTTGCTTCAACGCAAGCAACTCCGACGACCGCACACCAAGCTTCAACGACTTCATCTGGACAACCTGCACAAGGAGCAAGAAACATCATCAACTGCATGGTCAAGTTAAACGACTCTTGCACAACAGAGTCACCACCGTACTACTCACCCGAAGATCAACTTGACAACAGAACGCCTAAACGCGAATCTCTTCAACCGAACCCAACATATGCCGCAATCGCTCAAAGCGAACCATCCGGTCAAGACACCTGGTTCTTGGACAGTTGCTGCGGACAACACATGTGTTCCTCCGGGCGCTTCGTTCAACGCGAGCATCGACTCCAGCGATAAGTAGTCATCACGGTCGCCAACAATCAGAACCTGCGCGGAGACAAGGGGTTGTCAAAGTTTGAAGAAAGAAAGAGGGTTGAACTAGCAGGAATGAGGATACAAATAGCAAAACCCTAGAAGGGTTGTACTCGCTATAGAGCACCCCACTACAGGCTAGAACATAAGATAATATTCTGACAGGGGTGGTACAGCTTCAGTCACGAGAAACAAACGTTATACTCAACATGTCAAAAGTGCTTATCGCGGAGGGACTAGGCTACAACTTACTGAGTGTTAGCCAGTTGATGGCGAAAGGAATACACTTGGAAGCCGACAGCACCACCCAGGAGTTCAAGTTGTACCACGGGAAGGGTGGTCTCTACATCGGAAAGGCGGTATTGAAAAATAATGTTTTCGTCCTCGACTTCGTTCCCGATTTGGGCACTGCCGACAGCGACGCTATCGTCAACTTCGCCGATTGGACGCATCCGCCGGATCTCGATCCCGACTTCAGCCCGGGAGGCTTCTGGTACTCACACACCATTCCTGAAGCAGAACGAACACGAGCATTAGCAACCATTCGACAATCGGCAGCAGCAGAGACAACATCGGCAGCAGCAGAGACAACATCGGCAGCAGCAGAGACAACATCGGCAGCAGCAGAGACAACATCGGCAGCAGCAGAGACAACATCGGCAGCAGCAGAACCAACACCGGCAGCAGCAGAGACAACATCGGCACCAGCAGAGCCAACATCGACAGCAGCAGAAACATCACCGGCAGCAGCAGGACCAACTACACCAGTCATCGTCGAAGAAGAACCACCAACACTCGCACAACAGCTGAACCCGACTCAACGAGAAGTCCACAGGAGCGCCAACCTCGTCGCCAGCTTCTACTCCAACTCCGACACCTATCGACGTTCACCCGGACATCGCGACTCTGAAGAAACCTGGCACGCAAGATTGGGACATCCAAGCAACACAGCATTAAATAACACGATACGAGCAGGAGTTCTCGACAAAGATTCCCTACTACTACCCGACGGCAGAGAACTTCAAAGGGCAAGAGGGACTTGCCTTACATGCCCTGAAGCTGACTTACCTCATCGACCGTTCGCTCCACATCACAACCCGAGCGCACCAGCGTACGCACCACTCGAAAAGGTATACAGCGACATCATCTTTAACCGAGAGCCAGGACAAGTGACTTACAACTACACCATCACCTTCATCGACGCCGCCACCCGATACGTTTGGCACCTAAATCAACCAAGCCGCGACATGGCTCTCGCAGCTTTCGCCGCCTGGCTACCGGTAGCAGAGAGGGAATCGGGAGCAAAGCTAAAAAGCTTCCAGTCAGACGGAGGAGGAGAGTATACCTCTCAGCGCTTCAAGCAGTACCTGGCGGAACGGGGAATCAAGCAACTCCTCTCCCTTCCCTACGCCCATCAGCAGCAAGGCGTTGCAGAACGAATGAACAGGACTCTGCAGAACAGCATGCGCAAACTGTTATGTGGCATGCGGCTACCCAACCACCAGTGGCCTGCAGCAATGGACCACGCTGTCATGCTGCACAACTTGCTTTCATCGTCGTCACTCCCGAACAACGCGTCACCACATCTGCTGTGGACAGGGAAGCAGGCAGCACAAAAATGTTACGAGTTTTCGGGTGCATGGTACAGTACCGACCCCCAGAAGCACGCGCGGGAAGATTTTCACAACGGGCACAGTGGGGACTACACCTCGGCATCGAGAAAAATTACAACGCATGGAAAATCTTCGACGTCCACTCAAAGGAAACAGTGGCAGCACGTGATGTGATCTTCTACGAAAGACTCACCCTTCAGACGTACCTCGCCAACTTGCACGAGAATCAGGACCCCACAGGTGGCTTTCGTGGTGACCGAGCCTTCGCCTCAGCAGCGGACGAAGCAGACTGGGATGAACAGAACGTTGACAACGCATCGGAGGAAGCCGGACCTCTTCCGTTCTGCTCCGTCGACGTGCCCATGGACGAAGACAATCCTCGCGAAAGTAACAACGCCGAAGTCTTCTATCACTTCGCCGACACCGGTTACGTAACACCTGCAACAGCCAACACCAACGAAGCAGAAAGGATAGGGCCAAATTTCATACCCGACCCAGAAGCGGGAGACGAAGCAGCCTATCCCGAGGACACAACACTCCCCCGCTACTCACAGACCGGACTGCAAATCCTTGGTCTTGTCACGGCCGTCCATGGCTCCCCTCTTCCTAAAGAGCCTGCGACGGTTCAACAGGCTCTGGGGGGGGAACACAGAGAGAAATGGCGTGAAGCCATGGACAGAGAATTAAAAGCACTGGAGGAACGCAACACCTGGAAGGTCGTTCCCGCAAGCGTGGCAAGGAACAAGACCATTCTCACCGGGAAATGGGTCTTTCGCATCAAAACGAAAGCAGATGGCACAATCGAGAAGTTCAAGGCACGATGGGTTGTGCGGGGATTCGACCAGGAGCAAGGGCGAGACTTCACCGAGACATTCGCCCCAGTTAGTCGACATACCTCACTCCGCATTCTTCTCGCCGTCGCCGGCATGAAGAAGAAGAAACTGCGACAAATTGATGTCGCCAACGCCTTCCTCTACGCACCTGTCGACGCCGACATTTTCGTCGAACTCCCTCACGGTACCCACGGGGAACCCAACCAGGTCTGCCAGCTACTAAAGTCCCTCTACGGAATCAAGCAGGCCCCACGGCTATGGCAACAGCACTTGCACACCCGCCTCATCCGCATCGGATTCCGCCAACTGCCCCATGGCCAGGGCATGTACCGACTCACTAAAAGCACCGACTACATCCTACTCATCGTCTACGTCGACGATCTTCTCTACATCGGCTCCACCGACGACGTCACCAACTGGTTCGAAGGGGAGCTGCAGAAAGATCTCACGCTCACCGTTTCCTCTACCGTCACGCAGTACCTCGGGCTCAACATCCGCGAAGAAGAAAACGCAATCTATCTAAGCGCCGAGAAATACGCCGACACGATCGCCAAGCGCTTCTCGCTCAACCCTACCTCCATCGCCACGCCATACCGCTACACGGCAGGAAACGACCAAGGAAACTCCACTCTACTAAAAACCGCCGGAATACGCGACTACCAGCGAAAACTGGGCTGTCTACTCTTCGCAGCCGTCACCTGTCGCCCAGACTTGTCCTACTCCGCTAGCCAACTCGCTACCTACCTCAAGAGACCTGAAGCAGATCACATGGCAGAGCTCGATCGCGCACTGCACTATCTCGTGAGTACGCCGACGATCGGCCTGACTTACTACAAGAACGAAGCTGCGCCAACGAAGCTAATCGGCTATGTCGATGCCGACCATGCCGGCGATCCAGATAACAGGCGCTCTCGAACTGGCTACGTCTACCGTCTCGAGCCTATCGGACCTATCTCCTGGCAGTCGAGTAAGCAGGAACTAATCGCACTCTCCTCAGCTGAAGCAGAATATATCGCCCTCTGCTCAGCCACCAAGGAAGGACTCTACCTTCGCGAACTGTTGGAAGAAGCAAAGCTAGCCGAGTTGCCCAGCTTCACCCTGCACTGCGACAACCAATCTGCAATTCGCATGCGCCAACAAAAACGGATTCGCGAACAGAACGAAGCATATCGCTCTGCGATATTTCTTCGTGAAAGACGAGATCGAGAAAGGAAGACTCGAGTTATCCTACTGTCCCACGTCCGAGATGGCAGCCGACTACTTGACCAAGAAACTCGGAAAACAGAAGTTCGAGTACTGCATGCTGCTGACTGGACAAGGCCACGTCACCATCAGCGACACTTCAGAAGCGAAGGGGAGTGTTGGGAACAATAAGTATTAAAGCGCCTCTGTCGTGTCGAAACACAGTACTCAAAGCGAAGCAGTCAGAATCGAAGCATCGCGAGTCAACCCTCGGAGGTTGGGAGTAACCGCCTGGAGGTTACACGAAGGTCAAAGACCAGCGACCTTTGACTTGACCAATACAGCGCGACAGTAAGGACACCCAACTGACTCGACATTGAGCAGTTGCCCGAGTCGCACTGAATCGAATCGCAACAGCAAACAGTTATCTCATCTATTCGTATTCCTTGTACTCCTATATAGAGCCTTGTACTTGTTTGCTTTAATCAACTTCACTTTGCCCTCACATACCAGCGCAAGGTGGTTCAAGATCTCTTATTTAACGCTTCCGCTATTACAATCCTACTCAGCCTTTAACTCTATAAAGATCCTAGGGCTTCTCAGCCCAACACTGGTGAGGAAGAATCTCATGCACTCACTAAGAGCATGGCCATGGGTCACACCTGGCTGTAGAGGTGTACGCGTACCGTATGGTTGATTAGCGAGGCAGCTAAAGCATTTCGTGCCATTCAAGAGAGGCTACTCTATATGCTGCATAGTGGAGCCTGTCACAAGGGAACATGTTCACACACCAAGATGGCTCCACAATGGAGCTTCCATAATAAAACACTCCCATCCCACACACAACATGGTTCGGCAGCAAAGGGGAGGGTTTTTTCCTAGCATCGCCATGCAGTATCTGTACACACTGAGGCATAAACTAGCACACACTTACCAAAAACAAGCACACATCTATATCTGCCTAACTGGGCACCGCTACACCAGCTGGCATAAGGCCAGCTTCTTCATGCACACAAGTAACCAGCACGATTTTCCTGTATAACCACGACAGCAGCAAGGGCCCAAAGGAAAGGGCGCCTTCAGCTGCCACTGGGAAGTTATTCACTTGAGGGAGATCAGCGCAGGAAGACAGCGGCGAGCCAGAGGTTGATAATGGAGAATTCACTAATGAGGACGGCAGGGGAGCCGATGCCGAGCAGGGGAAAGATGTCGACTCGCAACCAGGCCTGTACCAGACTGCCCACCACTGCTCCCAGCACAAGCCCCCCTGTCGACAACCCTGCTGCCTTGCCTGCCAATGGTGAGGGGGAAAAAATAAGAGAGAGAGAGAGAGAGAGAGAGAGAGAGAGAGAGAGAGAGAGAGAGAGAGAGAGAGAGAGAGAGAGAGAGAGAGAGAGAGAGAGAAAGAGTGGGACTTAAGGACACGTCCGAGCAGGGGAGAGATGTTGAACTGCAACCAGGATACACCAGACTGTCCACCACTGCTCCCAGCACGAGCCCCCCTGTTGACAGCCCCAGTGCCTTGCCTGTGAGCAGTGGGAGAGTAAGGGAGAGAGAGCCAGAGAAAGAGAGAGAGAGCCAGAGAAAGAGAGAGAGGGAGCCAGAGAAAGAGAGAGAGAGAGAGCCAGAGAAAGAGAGAGAGAGAGAGAGCCAGAGAAAGAGAGAGAGAGAGCCACATAAAGAGAGAGAGAGAGCCAGAGAAAGAGAGAGCGGATGGACCTTTCAGGATCCAAGTGCCATAAAGTACTCCTCCACTGCTCCCAGCAATAACTTCTCTACTGACGCTGCCAATTCTGATGCTACCAACCCTGATGCCGGAGAGAGTGGTGGGGGGAGAGAGAGTGTTGGAAGGGAGAGGGCGGTTGGGAGGAGAGGAGATAGATGGGGGGGGAGAGAGGAAGAGAGAGAGAATGCGTGTTTGCCCCCATATCCACTCACCCACTCATCAATCTCACAGCAATACACCACACTACTTTGATACTCGGGTGTAAACCGTCGGTACGATACTTGCCACGCCAGTACATTCCCACGACCATGATCCCCCAGCTCTTCTGAAACCAGGGACGATCCCAAGGTAGGTCTGGGACAATCACTCATGCTCTAACACTCACCAATTCCCACGCCATTATTCCTCTATGTAGCATGACAAACTTCTAGACGCCACAATTTGGTCTTCGTTCACACTCGTCCACCCACGCACAAACCTTGCCATACGCACTCACTTCACCTTTCACCCGCCATGCACGCAAACACCTCTTGACCCCCACTCACCCATCCCAACGCCTTCCTTCCGCAGCGAGTACAGCGCCCATCCAAACGCCAGCGCCAGCTGCAGCCCCGGCACATCCCCTCCCGTCGCCGCGGGCCCGTACAACGACCCGCCCAGATCCGACCCCGACGACAATCCCGAGGCGTACGTCCAGATGAGCAGCGACGCGAAGACCGCGGATTGCACGGCGAGCGCCTGGCTGCCGCTGCTGGTGCTGGTGTTGGGCGTGGTGACGGCGACCGGCGAGGATTTGAGGGCCTTTTGCAGCCAGGAAGGCGGGGCGGGCGGGCGGGGCTTCTGCACGTCCGCGAAGCGCACGCTGCTGTCGACGACCTCGCCGGAGCGGCGCCGAGAGAGGGACTGCATGAGGAGAATGTCGTACGCTGCTTCGACCTGCGGGGGGTAGGAGGGGAATCAGAGAATGAAGGAAATAAAATGAGAAAGAATCGCACGCAATTGTCTGCTACCTCGCAGGAACGGCGCCGGGAGAGGGACTGCATAAGGAGAATGTCGCACGCTGCTTCGACCTGCGGGGGGTTGGGAAGAGAAAGGGAAAGGCAACAACAATGAAGAGAGTCGTCGTTTCACCTACGGTACCACGCGAATTGCCACATGTTGAAGCCATGTTTGGATCGTATCAACAACCGTTCATTAAACAGTATAGTGTGCAATAACCAACAAAGCCGCGGTTACCAAGTTTGTCTTACCTCTCCAATCGTTCAACATGACCGTTTTGACATGACCGTTTCACAAAAGACTACTGGAACATCTCTTTAGTCACGAGCGATGCTCCTCAATCTGATCCCGAAAGTCCTCAATTTCCGTCTCACGAGAGGGAATATTACCTGGTTGAAAAATACTCAATTGATTGTCCAACACGTCGCAATTCCTCCCAGCGAAAAAAAACCTCTTACCTGATGTTTTCGCGCTTTGCATTGATAGCGCTATGGATTTTGAGTCGACTCAACCTGCAAATGAGACCTCTTACCGGGAGTATCAGCGCTCTGTAAAAACAGCGTTACAAAAGAACCAGTGCTTACCCTCAGAAGAAGCTCCTGATCGGCGGTGCCTGGGTCTGTAATTCGCTTCTTCGCTCGCAGGATGTCGTCGAACGTCGCTCCCTCCCTCACCCCCAGCAGGTCCAGCGCGTTCTGGTAGGTCATCTCCGATGGTGGTAGGTCGTCCTGTTGCTTCGCCTGCACTCGCACGCATCGCCGTGCGAACTTTCGCGAAGATGGTCTAGCGAAATTGGCGGTTTGAAAAGGTCTGGTCGCGATGTTTGCGTTGTGGATGGAGAGCGCTCCGAACCGTAGAACCTGCGCCATGGCTACCGCTGCTGTGAGGCACGGACGTGAAATGCTATAAGGCGATGAATTCTCTCGCGGAACAAACAATAGAGATTCTGCACGTCGAAAAAGAAGTTAATAGACTTCCAATTACTGCATTCAAGTCCGCCTCCGGGGTGGTTCTAGAAACAAAATGACTACTTCCAGAGCTCTAGGTCATTTTCAGAACGGAAACAGAGAACAGAGGACAGAGAGAATGAATGATGGATGGAACAGTGGGCAAGAGCAGTAGGAGTGTGAGAGGGAAGTGAGGAGGAGGGGGGCCACAAAACGGAAAAGTTTTTGAATGCCTGGTAGCGAGATAGAAAGTACCCTTTTCTGTGAGTCCAGAAATACGGAAAATCGGAGAGTTCATCATCCGAATGGGAAGCTCGATTCCTATCACTCATATTTCCCGAAGAAGCAAATCACTGGATGGCACCTCACACAGCTACCGATATAGCTACCCACCAGCGGAACAAATGGTACATTTCCTCCAATAGTCTTCAGAATGGCCGTTGCGGGCAGGAAAAATGGTTGTAACCACCCTTCAAGTCATAGAATGTCCGATGACGTGGCATTGGGAACAAACTCAAAGGAGTAGCAGATACAGTTCCGTGATTGGTGACTGTACTATCAAGGCTCGTGCTTGTTGATTGGGTATAGTTAGGCGCGAACTCCTCACCTGACGAGGATAACCAGTAATAATGTGACACACCCAATGAACTGGGACGGAGGACGAGGATTTGTGGCAGCCATGCGTGGCTGCATCTGGCCAATCCAGGTGTTCAATTTCGAGATCTTCTGAGTCCATCAGTTTCGAGAAGAGGCGTGAACAACAGGGAGGACGTGTTTCATCTCCACTTGTTTACGAACGAGGGCGACACTTAGGCCCAGTTCGGCAGGCATTATGGCCATTATGGGCATTTTTAACGGGCCCCCAAAAAATACCCCATGGGCATTTTTTGGAAACAGCTTCGAAATCGGACAGTAGCTGGGGTGCACCTTCAAAAAAACGGGCTGACTGTTCGGCTGGCATTTATTGGGTGTAGATTGATGGCGCCAACCGAAATTTTGGTTTCGCAGAAGATGGTAGGCAGTTTCTCAGATGGATCAAGCGATCATGTGATTGGCTAAGATATTTGACCAGACACTGTTTAATGCTTCGAATCACTTTCCCCGCATGGTGCGGGGCCTCGAAGCCGCATGGTGCGGCGGATTAAAAAATGGGCACTTTGCCCGAGAAACTGGGCTCGTGGAAGCTTCCGTTGGGTGAAAATGCCTGCACAAAAAGGGCTGTTCGGGAGGCATCCATTATTGTCAGGCTCAGCGTAGATCCGCTTATATCGAGCCTTGATAATCATTCACGCGCTTATCTAAGAAGGCTCCAGGGTGGTCATTTCACTGTAGCCCAACCGCCGAGGCCATTTCAATAATGCCTGCCGAACTGGGCCTTACCAAAGACTGGGAAAATTTAGGTCGCAGATTTCATCCGTCGCTTCATAATCAACACATCTCTCGTAGGAGAAGGCCACTGCACACGCCCTGAGCATCCACAGCTTGGGTTCCACACTGTAGATTACCGCTTATGTAGAAATAAGAGTGCAGCCATTTCCCTCTCTAAGACCTGCCTTCCAGTCTGCTTCGCATAGCCTGCGTTTTCCACAATCCCAGCGGCATGGCGGCGTTGTTGTTCCGCAGTCAGTCGTCGACGTGTGTCCGCGTCTCGCCAGCGCGTGACGCGAGCCGCCTGTCGTCCAAGCAGAACAACCAGGTATGACTGGAAACACCAACAACCTAGAAAGTTTTCGCGAGCACCATCGCATTATTAATCCAATTCGCTTCTTCCGTTAAACCTGGTCCTGGTCCTCTCCTTCCCATTACCTCACTCCTTTTCGCTTTCTTCGCATTCTGCTTCCCGTACGCCTCACCTCGCATTGTCATTCTCTCCACATCATGTGGAAATGATTTCCCTCTGGTCACCTGTCGCTCCGTCCCTAATTCCCGTTTCCACGCGATCATCCACATGTCTAGCAGCCTCGTTTCTTTCCTCGCGGTGCTTGGTCTGCTCGGCGACCCCTTAAGAATGCAATTGTCAGGTCAGGCTCCAAGTCGTCAGAGCTTATTAAGACCGTGGTTGCGAACATTCCCAGGCACCAATTCAGACAGGACCTGAGGTATTCACACTGTTTTGTTTTTCCAAGAAGGCGTCTTCAATGGATCTAAACTTCCCCTCCTGACCTCCCCCTACGCTCGCCTGAAATTAACTCCAGATCTTTCCCAATCGTTAGTGTTTTGTCCCTTAAGGTCTGAAAGGTCAATTCAACTTCAACTATCGCATTCCACCGTCTTGGTGACCATGTCCTTCGGAACATCCTTTCATCTTCAGCTACTAACCCCCGCGCCATCAACCCCCACATCGCTTCAAACGCTGAACTCCCTTTCATCCCTCTGGATTTCATCCAACCAATCAGCGCCACTTCCGCATCGTCGTCGTTCTCGTCAGCACAGCAGGCAGCAGTCCCGACGGGCATGGGGGAGGGGTCACGGCTTGGAGGAGGACCACGGCAAATGGGTGGCGATGATGGCTCTCAGATGGTGGAGAAGGGGAGGAAAATACGGAAAAAAGAAGTGAGTGATCTATGGCAAGTGAAATGGAAAAGAGACCGGAGAGTGAGTGGTGGAAGGAGGTTGGCATTTTTTTGCAGATTGTTTTCTCTTTATGCCTTCTAATCTCTCTCTCCTCCAGGCATTCAAGGACTAGTGTTTCCAGAGCTTTCAGAACACTCTCATCCCATGCCGTCCCAAGCCGTTCTTTCCTCCTGCATCCCTCTCCCACACCAGTGATGAGGTGAGTAAGGCTATTTTTTATGCGCCTGCTAAAATGAACTGGATATCTTTCCTCCTCCGCCTGCACCCCTGCTGGCCACCAGGCATAAAACGATCCTTTTGAAGCTGAGGGATGAGCTGGAGACGTCCTTTGCAGGCCTCTCATACGCGGACCACACTCCCACTCTCACACCTCCCTCCTGCCAGTGATGAAGCAATCCTTGAGGCGCCTAGAAAACTGCCCCATGCCTCATCCCCGCGTCCCTAGAAATCTCTCCTCCTCCCCGCGTCCCTGCCTGCCTGCATCCCTCCCTCCTGGTCACCAGGTGCTCAAGGAGCTGTTGAAGATGAGGGATCAGTTGGAGGAGCTGTTTGCAGGCCTATCACTGGAGGAGAACTTTCAAACCTCCCGCCCTCTTGACAACAGGTGGGACGGGGTGGGTGGGTGGCCTTGATGGGTGGTATTAGTAACCAGTTGGTGTTTTCTTTTTGCGTTGCCCAACCAGCGCTGTGCATGGACGCATTCATTACTCACCTCAATTGTTGTGCCCAATTAACTCACTAACGCTCTCTCTGTGTTGCCCTTTCGTTCGTCCCATTGGCCCTCTGTCCAGTCTTTATATTAGTCGCCTCCTCCTCCTTCGTCCCCCTTCACCACCCCACCTCCTTCCCTTTCCTCCTCCCCCACTTCCCTCCCCCGCCTACTCCCTTCCTTCTCTCCTCTCCCCCGGGTCGTCCAAAATCAACCTACCAGAATCACAGACGCACGATCGACATCATCGCTGCAGGGGACACCGGGGCAGAAAGTCGATCAAGAGGTGAGTGGGTGGGCTATTCTTGTGTCAAATCCAGATCTCACCTCAGGAGTAACACAAGCCTTCTCTCAGCTGCCACTGGCCTAAATTTTGTGAAGAGGTGAGGAGAGTATATAGATATTCCATATGTGTATTATAGATATGTATTTCTATATGTATGCATTCTATGTATATGTATTCATGTATAAACATATCATTATATGTGTGTGTCCGTGTTGGTTGGTAGCTGCGGCTCTTCAAATTTGTTTTCTGCTATTCCCATTCACAAGTAGCTTTTCAAGCGTCACATGTGTTCTCGTCGATGCTATTCCAACCTAGCTCATTCGAGAGGAAGGAGGGGAGGAGAGGGGGGTGGGGGGGCTAAGGGAGAGGGAGTGTATTTTGAGTCGACTTTAAAGTCACCTAGCTCATTCGAGAGGGAGGATAGGAGGGGAGGGGAAGGGAGTGGGAGTGTAGGTGGAACGGATGGTGAGTAGAAATCGAAACTTGTGGAGGTTTATTCAAATGTCAAACGAGTGAGGAGGGAGGACACATAGCATGTCTATACCTGTTTCACATGACATGCCCCCAGCAACGTCTGTCCAGGTTGTAGTTGTCAAATGCCCCCCGCCCCACCCTTCCCAACCCCACCAACCCTCACAACGTTTGTTTGTCCTGCGTGCGTGCATGTGTTCACCCACCAGGTGGTAGAGCAGCTTCTAAGAGCAAAGTCAATCTGGATAAGCCAATGGCAGCCTTATCGAGTCTGACGTGCTTTCAAACGTTCCAAGCTCTACTTGTCAAATGCCGTCCCCCCTCCCCCCCCCTCACAACGTTTGTTTGTCCTGCGTGCATGTGTGCGTCCGCCAGGTTCTAGAGCAGCTTCTGAGTTTGAAGCACTTTTTGGATATGCTGAACAACCTCATCGAATCATTTGATCCAGCAGCAGAGGCAGACAGTGCGCTGGTTTGGTGAGCCCGCTGGTTTGGTTTGGTAAGCCCGCTGGTTTGGTTTGGTGAGCCCGCTGGTTTGGTTCTGCGAGCCTGCTGATTTGGTTCGGTGAGCCCGCTGGTTTGGTTCGGTGAGCCCGCTGGTTTGGTTCGGTGAGCCCGCTGGTTTGGTTCGGTGAGCCCGCTGGTTTGGTTCGGTGAGCCCGCTGGTTTGGTTCGGTGAGCCCGCTGGTTTGGTTCGGTGAGCCCGCTGGTTTGGTTCTGTGAGCCCGCTGGTTTGGTTCTGTGAGCCCGCTGGTTTGGTTCTGTGAGCCCGCTGGTTTGGTTCTGTGAGCCCGCTGGTTTGGTTCTGTGAGCCCGCTGGTTTGGTTCTGTGAGCCCGCTGGTTTGGTTCTGTGAGCCCGCTGGTTTGGTTCTGTGAGCCCGCTGGTTTGGTTCTGTGAGCCCGCTGGTTTGGTTCTGTGAGCCCGCTGCTGCAGCTGTTGTTTCTGGTGTCGCCTCATCCTTTCTTCTACCCTGACACAGGGGTGTCCTTGCCACGTCCTTTCCCAACTCCTCTCTCCTATCTTTCTTTCCTCCTCCCTTCCTCTCCCCCCCCCCCCTTCCTTCTCTTCCCCTCTTCCCCCCCCTCCTCCTCCCCTCAACCCCTGCTTTTCCCTCTCCTCAAACACATGAATTCCCATCACACAGCCTCAATAACGCACTGCAGTTTTATCACAGGAGGAGGGCCGAGGGAATGCCAGCAAGCACAGTCATCCTCAATTTCCTCCTTGCTATTTCCACGCAAGTGGATCACAACAAGTCTATGGAGCTGTATGCACTGATGCTGAAGGAAGGACTGCAGCCTGACTTTACCACCATTGGGTGTCTGTGCTTATCGGCTTGCTTCGCGGGAGATATCATTTCCATTAAGCGGGTACTGCGAACGGGCACATCGCGGAAGATATCATTGCACGCTCACTCAGTCCCCATTCGTATCTCACTCAGTCCCCGTTCGTATCTCACTCAGTCCCCATTCGTATCTCACTCAGTCCCCGTTCGTATCTCACTCAGTCCCCGTTCGTATCTCACTCAGTCCCCGTTCGTATCTCACTCAGTCCCCGTTCGTATCTCACTCAGTCCCCGTTCGTATCTCACTCAGTCCCCGTTCGTATCTCACTCAGTCCCCATTCGTATCTCACTCAGTCCCCGTTCGTATCTCACTCAGTCCCCGTTCGTATCTCACTCAGTCCCCGTTCGTATCTCACTCAGTCCCCGTTCGTATCTCACTCAGTCCCCGTTCGTATCTCACTCAGTCCCCGTTCGTATCTCACTCAGTCCCCGTTCGTATCTCACTCAGTCCCCGTTCGTATCTCACTCAGTCCCCGTTCGTATCTCACTCAGTCCCCGTTCGTATCTCACTCAGTCCCCATTCGTATCTCACTCAGTCCCCGTTCGTATCTCACTCAGTCCCCATTCGTATCTCACTCAGTCCCCGTTCGTATCTCACTCAGTCCCCGTTCGTATCTCACTCAGTCCCCATTCGTATCTCACTCAGTCCCCGTTCGTATCTCACTCAGTCCCCGTTCGTATCTCACTCAGTCCCCGTTCGTATCTCACTCAGTCCCCGTTCGTATCTCACTCAGTCCCCGTTCGTATCTCACTCAGTCCCCGTTCGTATCTCACTCAGTCCCCATTCGTATCTCACTCAGTCCCCGTTCGTATCTCACTCAGTCCCCATTCGTATCTCACTCAGTCCACGTTCGTATCTCACTCAGTCCCCATTCGTATCTCACTCAGTCCCCGTTCGTATCTCACTCAGTCCCCGTTCGTATCTCACTCATTCCCCGTTCGTATCTCACTCAGTCCCCGTTCGTATCTCACTCAGTCCCCGTTCGTATCTCACTCAGTCCCCGTTCGTATCTCACTCAGTCCCCGTTCGTATCTCACTCAGTCCCCGTTCGTATCTCACTCAGTCCCCGTTCGTATCTCACTCAGTCCTCGTACATCGAACAGGGACTGAGTGAGATACGAAGACTTAGAAGGTAGAAGAAATCTCTGACCTTTTGGCTTGCAGCCAAGATGTTGACTCTAATGGGCTGCTGCGCCTCTCGGATTGCCTAGCAGGGAATATAAACCCTGCCAAAGCAGGTACTACAGGGACGATGCGAGTTGTTGTCAAAAGGTTTGTAACCATGCATAGTTTTTATTTCAATTGTAGTAACTCCAAAATGTTGTAGATACCTTGTGTGCGTTGATGCTCCATGCTCCAGTTACCTGTTATCTCATCTCATGTGCCAACCGAGGTGACTTGTGAGTCGAATACCATATGCGTTCCTATTTCATTCCTTCTTTCCGTCCCTTGGCTCCCGTGCGTAGATCTTACTGGACTCGGCTGGTTGGGAGGATCAAGAGAATCACGAGGATGAAGAGGAAGATTTTCTTTCCAGCACCACTCTCTATTACAACAAATTCATTGATCTGTGTGCTGCTAGTGATTCACAAGCGAATGTGAGTTGGCTCACATGATGCCGTCTCCTTCCCTTTCCTCTTCTCCCTCTCCTCTGCCGACTCCCTTCGGTTCGGGATGAATGTGCCAAAACCTTTATGTTGATAGATGTTCTAGTTTTCACACCTTGATCTGAGTCGACACACCTTGATCTGAGTCGACACACATCTCCCACCTCTTCACTCGTCCCCCCTCCCTCCTTCCCTCGCTCCCTTATCCCAATCCTTCCCTTCCTATGTTCCTCCTCCAATCCCCCGGCCCCCTTTTTTTCTCCTCCTTGAAGAGCTGATGTATGTATCATCTAAAATTAAGGTGCATGGATTGAGTGATGTTATACAATATCTGCCATGGCAAGGCAATTTCTAGGCATTTGGTGGTGTAACAAGGCTTTTCCGGCCTGCCCTGCCCTACCCTGCCCTGCCCTGCCCTGCCCTGCCCTGCCCTGCCCTGCCCTGCCCTGCCCCGCCCCGTCGACCATCGACCATCTAAAACTCTAAATCTCGCTGACTGTTCTCTTCTTGTAACCCATCTTCTTATTCTGGCAGGTTCAAGCTGAGCAAACTTCAACTGAGCAGGTTCAGGTTCAACTTGAAATGGCGTGGCGCCTCTATCACGGGCTGGAAGCAGACAAGAATGCCCGACCCGATGCCGAAACATTCAACATCCTCATTGGCGTCAATCTCAAGGTGCTGTTTTTCATTATATTGGAAACCGTCAGGAAGGCACGGCCAAAGAGTGTCTTGCTAAGTTAGGTGTCTTTTGAGGCGCCTCAAAAGACACCTCACTGCACGGCCAAAGAGTGTCGTGCTAAAGTTTCCCCACTTGTGTCCCCCTCCGTTACCGCACTTCCCTCGCCAGGCAGGGGATCACGAGGGGGCGTTGCAAGCATACAAGCTGATGTCAGCGAGTGGGTTTGCACGCGACTTGGAGCCAGAGCTTTGGAACAAGCTCATCCATGCCGTGGCTGCCGTGCCCTCCGCCCCTGCCTACGTGGCCTACGGGGTGAGCAGAGCACGAGGGCTTGATTCTCGTATACATTGTGGCCGTTCCGTTGCTTACTTATTTGTATCTACTTTTCTAGAAGGCAAAACTAGCCTTCTGTTTCCAGGCAATACTGGAACACAACTTTGTCTTCGGTCTTCGGAACTGCCATATGCCAGCTTGGTATGTTTCCGGGAGATGGACCAACTGAACCCACGAAAATGTCACTGAATTGTCTTTTCTCCCTCTTAGATCCATCCTTCTCATCAACCTGAAGGTCCGTACCTTTCCCCACTGTTCTGAGTCTACTCCTCCTCCGCCTCCCCTCCCATTCTGTCCCACAGTGTTATGATGCATTGCAAACATGGGGACCCTAGCCGGACCTAGACACGTACGTGGGGCTCATGGCAGTGTGTGCCAGGGATGGCGATGCAGCATGGGCGATGGCACTGAGGAGGGAGATGGAGGATGGCGGAGTGGAGGTGACGGGAGAAGTGCTCCGTGCGCTCATGGCCATGCAACGCAAAGCGGGGATGTGGGAGGCCGCTGTGGAAACCTTCAAAGAGATGCAAACCAAGGCGGTGCTCTCAACCGATGTGAGCACCGGTTGATGTGTGTGTGTATGCCATATGCTGCTAGTTTGTTAGAGGTAGTTGCTGCATGCTTGTGAGTACTCTTCTCAGCCCTGAGGGAAGTTGCAGGAGGTGCTTTCGCCTGTCGTTGCTGGACGAGGCTATCTGGATCTTAATATAAATCTAGTCTCCTTGCTCTCATCGATCTCTTTCGCACGCTACTTTCCTTCACTTCATCCACCTTTTAAATCACCAGTTTATTTGAAATTTGTCCTTCACTGCAGGAGGATGCGGCATGGGGTCGTGAGTTCCTGAAGGAAGCTGCTGAGAAAGTTCGCCCTAATGCGAAGACCCTCAATCTTCTCATTGAAGCAAGTGTAGAGGTGTGTGTGTGTGTTGGAAAATTCAAAGGTAGAGATTTTGAGGTGTCACGAACTTTTGATACACTTCTTTATGCGCCTCAATGGCCACTAGAACGTTCCTTTTCCTTCAGGTTGCTTTCTTTCTTTCTTTCTTTCTTTCTTTCTTTCTTTCTTTTTTTTTGGTGCAAAATCAACCTTGCAGAATTCCTTTAAAAGGCATTTCCTCCCTCTCTTCCCTTTTGCCGGCTTCCCATTGTGCGTCTTTCTCTACTTGTCACTCGTCTCATCCCCTCCCTCACCCTGAACCGCACACGGACAAACACAAACACTCATGAGCGCGCCGCGTGCGTGTGTGTCCCCTCCCTCACCCTCTGCAGGCAGGGGACCACGAGGGGACGGTGCGAGCGTGCAAGCTGATGGCAGCAACTGAGTGTCCACTGCCTGTTCTTTTCCCTCTCACATCCGCTCCGCTCCCTCACACCATGTGCCCTCTGCAGGCAGGGTATCACGAGGGGGCGGTGCGAGCGTACAAGCTGATGGCAGCAAATGGCTTGGCACATGAATTGAATCCGGTTTTCTGGAGCAAGCTCACCCAATTTGCGAGGACCGTGATTGCACCGTCTACCCCTACTAACACTGCAAACGAGGCAAGCTCAACAGTGGCAAATTGTTGCTGGTGTGCTTTTTGGTTGAGTTTCGAGACGTCTGAAAAGTCATTTCTTGGCTATCGCTCCGCTCCACCATTCTCACATTATTGATGTGGGTGATGGGACGAAACAAGGACGGGACACTGTCACACTGTGCCATGCCTTTTTTCCTCCTCCACCTGAGAGTGTCAAGTTGTTTCTCATGGCCTCAAAAGTTCTGTCTACCTGGATCGTCCCTCCCGTTCCATTGCAGGCAGACACGCCTCCTCCAGTGCTCCAGCTCCTATCAGAGGCTACTGAGAGTGGCTGTGTCGACCCAGAGGTCTTCAACCTCCTCATCGAAACCAGCCTGCAGGTGCGTTGAAGGTTTACTGGTAGGCTTTTGACTGAGACATCTGAAGCGCCAATGGTTTTTTTTTTAGGCGCCTCAAATGCGCCAATGAAGTCTTCCGCTTTTGATGGCTGCTGCTGATAGTGGCTGTTCCGATACAGAGCTCTTCAACCTGCCCACTGGAATCTGTTTTTGAGTCGACACAAAAACAGGCGCAGAGCTCTTCAACCTGCCCACTGGAATCTGTTTTTGAGTCGACACAAAAACAGGCGCAGGGCTCTTCAACCTGCCCACTGGAATCTGTTTTTGAGTCGACACAAAAACGGATGCAGAGCTCTTCAACCTGCTCATTGGAATCAGCCTGCAGGTGAGTGTGAGCGAGGTGAAGCCTGTCGGCATTTTTTTTATTGGGACATCTGACTGATATAGTCAGCGAGTGCTGCAGCTCTTGATGAAAGCTGTGAAGAACGGCTGTTTGATGCTCAGGAGTTGAACCTGCTCATTGAAATCCACCTGTAGGTGTGTGAGAGGTGAAGATTGTCCAGGCTTGATAGCTTTTGAGAGGAGTCAAAGTCAATGCTTCAGAGCCTCTGGTGCAGGCTGTTGTGAGCATTTGTTTCGGTGCAGAGTTCTTTAACCTGCTGATTGAAATCAACCTGCAGGCGAGGTTAAGGCTGTTGTTGATAGTCTTTCATTGGGACATCTCATAAGTGTGTCCCCCTCTTTATAGCCTTACCCAACCCGTAACCCTCTCTGGTTGGTTCTCCAGGCAGGGGATCACGAGGGGGCGTTGCGAGCGTACAAGCTGATGTCGGCGAATGGCTTGGCGAGTGACTTGGATCCGCCTTTTTGGAACAAGCTCATCCTTGCCGTGGCTGCTGTGCCCTCCGCCCCTGCCTACGTGGCCTATGGGGTGAGTGAGGCTGATAGGGTGCTTTGTAATACATGTAGAGTGCATTGGGCCAGTGCCGGTCATTAGCAATCATTGGCCCATCTACTGCCCATCGCTATCTTTCTTCGTTTCAGGTTCAAGGCTACCTCTTCCCTTGCCCACCTATCCTGCTTTCTAACTCTTTGCCGTCCTTCACAGCCCTTACATAACTCGTCTGTTTGTGAGACCTGCTGCTGATATAGTAGTCGTCACCTGCTGCTGATCTACTAGTCGTCACCTGCTGCTGATCTACTAGTCGTCACCTGCTGCTGATCTACTAGTCGTCACCTGCTGCTGATCTACTAGTCGTCACCTGCTGCTGATATACTAGTCGTCACCTGCTGCTGATATACTAGTCGTCACCTGCTGCTGATCTACTAGTCGTCACCTGCTGCTGATCTACTAGTCGTCACCTGCTGCTGATCTACTAGTCGTCACCTGCTGCTGATCTACTAGTCGTCACCTGCTGCTGATATACTAGTCGTCACCTGCTGCTGATCTACTAGTCGTCACCTGCTGCTGATCTACTAGTCGTCACCTGCTGCTGAGCTACTAGTCGTCACCTGCTGCTGATCTACTAGTCGTCACCTGCTGCTGATCTACTAGTCGTCACCTGCTGCTGATCTACTCCACCACCTCCTCGCCTTCACTCTACTCCTCGCCACTGTCTTTGATTCCGCGTTGACTTTTGAGTCGACTCTAAAGTTTACTCCACCACCTCCTCGCCTTCACTCTACTCCTCGCCTCGTCACTGTCTTTGTTTCCGCAACAGTGCTACGAGGGCATGAAGAGATGGGGTCCCACGCCAGACCCGGAAACCTACCAGGGGCTCATGGCAGTGTGTGCCAGGGATGGCGATGCAGCACGGGCGATGGCTCTCAAGAAAGACATGCAGGATGGTGGAGTGGAGGTGACAGCAGCAGTGCTTCATGCGCTCCTGACCATGCAGCGCCAGGCAGGGCTGTCGGAGGCGGCTGTGAAGACTCTGAAGGAGATGCAAGCAAAGGCTGTGCTCTCGACTGATGTAAGCATTCATGCATGCATTCATGTACAAACTTTAGAAGATGCAAGCCAAGGCGACCCTGTGCACTGATGTGAGGCCTGGTAGCCGATATGCTTCTTCTGTGTGCGTATGTTTAATCCAGACTTCTTTTGAAGCCAAGACTTTGCTGCTTCTGGCTTTCGCTTCTTCTTTCGATGCTTTTTTTTTCTTTTCTTTTTTCTTTTTTTTTTTTGTTCGGGGTCCCGTCCCACGTCCGTGGCTCCTGTAGTTGTCTCACAACCGCATTTCAACTCTCTTCCACCGCAGGAGCAAAAGGCATGGGGTTGCGAGCTCCTGACAGAAGCCATCGAGAAAGGCGATGCAGCACGGGCGACTGCGCTGAGGAGGGAGGTGGCAGATGGCGACGTGGAGGTGACGGGGGAAGTGCTCCGTGCGCTCATGGCCATGCAGCGCCAGGCGGGGATGTGGGAGGCAGTTGTGGAGTCACTCAAGGAAATGCAAGCAAAAGCGATCTTGTTGACTGATGTAAGGCCTGTTAACTGATGTGCTCCCTTTACTCGCTTACCTTACCAGGTATAGCGTAATGTAGAAATAGACTCGCTGTCCTCCCACCGTGGCTCTGGTAATGCCATCTTGCTCATTTAGTCTAATTCTCCGCAATGCTTGTCCACATGATCCATTTCTTTCGCTGCAGGAGGATACGGCATGGGGTCGTGAGCTGTTGATGGAAGCTATCGAGAAAGGCAGTCCCGATGCAGAAACGTTCAACCTGGCCATTGCAGCAAGCCTTGAGGTGCGATTCATCTGCATTCATTGTAGCATTATTTCACCTGCCCAGATGATTGCTTCACTGTATGGTCTGAAGTGTATGCATTCAAAAGACACCTAAAAGGCAGTCTTGATGCATGTACACTCAACTGGTCATTGCAGCCAGCCTTCACGTGCTGTTTCCAGCCGGCCGTTTGCCAGCTAAGCACTATCTCGACTTAAAAATCATTAAACTAGACTTTAGTTCACAAAAGAATGTCATATAACTCTTTCACCACCATCTCTCCCCCACTTTCTCCAGGCAGGGGATCCTGAGGGGGCGTTGCGAGCGTACAAGCTGATGTCAGCGAGTGGGTTTGCATGCGACTTGGACCCGCCTTTTTGGAACAAGCTCATCCACGCCGTGGCTGCCGTGCCCTCCGCCCCTGCCTTCGTGGCTTACGGGGTGAGCACAAGGAAGAGGAGGGAGGAGGAATAGGGAGGTGGCTTGGGGAGCAGATCCTTTACATTAAAGGCTGTCTGTGTTCTAAACTATATCACATTTTCCTTAAAGCCTTTAAGCCTCACACAGACAGACAGCCTTGTCGTGAGAATGCTGTGGTGCCATGCGAAGTTCGCCAATCAATCTCAGTTGGTTTTTGCCTCTCGCAGCAATCGATTGGATGTAAGCACTGGGCACAGGCGGCTTGCAAGACACTGCCCTTTCACTTTCATCACCGTTTCTTCTGTGGCATGGCAGTGCTACGAGGGCATGAAGAGATGGGGTCCCACGCCAGATCCGGAAACCTACCAGGGGCTCATGGCAGTGTGTGCCAGGGATGGCGATGCAGCACGGGCGATGGCTCTCAAGAAAGACATGCAGGATGGTGGAGTGGAGGTGACAGCAGCAGTGCTTCATGCGCTCCTGGCCATGCAGCGCCAGGCAGGGCTGTCGGAGGCGGCTGTGAAGACTCTGAAGGAGATGCAAGCAAAGGCTGGGCTCTCGACTGATGTAAGCATTCATGCATGCATTCATGTACAAACTTTAGAAGATGCAAGCCAAGGCGACCCTGTGCACTGATGTGAGGCCTGGTAGCCAATATGCTTCTTCTGTGTGCGTATGTTTAATCCAGACTTCTTTTGAAGCCAAGACTTTGATACTGCTTCTGGCTTTCGCTTCTTCTTTCAATGCTTTTTCTTTTTTTTTTCTTTTTTCTTTTTGTTCGGGGTCCCGTCCCGCTTCCGTGGCTCCTGTAGTTGTCTCACAGCCGCATTTCAACTCTCTTCCACCGCAGGAGCAAAAGGCATGGGGTTGCGAGCTCCTGACAGAAGCCATCGAGAAAGGCGATGCAGCACGGGCGACTGCGCTGAGGAGGGAGGTGGCAGATGGCGACGTGGAGGTGACGGGGGAAGTGCTCCGTGCGCTCATGGCCATGCAGCGCCAGGCGGGGATGTGGGAGGCAGTTGTGGAGTCACTCAAGGAAATGCAAGCAAAAGCGATCTTGTTGACTGATGTAAGGCCTGTTAACTGATGTGCTCCCTTTACTCGCTTACCTTACCAGGTATAGCGTAATGTAGAAATAGACTCGCTATCCTCCCACCGTGGCTCTGGTAATGCCATCTTGCTCATTTAGTCTAATTCTCCGCAATGCTTGTCCACATGATCCATTTCTTTCGCTGCAGGAGGATACGGCATGGGGTCGTGAGCTGTTGATGGAAGCTATCGAGAAAGGCAGTCCCGATGCAGAAACGTTCAACCTGGCCATTGCAGCAAGCCTTGAGGTGCGATTCATCTGCATTCATTGTAGCATTATTTCACCTGCCCAGATGATTGCTTCACTGTATGGTCTGAAGTGTATGCATTCAAAAGACACCTAAAAGGCAGTCTTGATGCATGTACACTCAACTGGTCATTGCAGCCAGCCTTCACGTGCTGTTTCCAGCCGGCCGTTTGCCAGCTAAGCACTATCTCGACTTAAAAATCATTAAACTAGACTTTAGTTCACAAAAGAATGTCATATAACTCTTTCACCACCATCTCTCCCCCACTTTCTCCAGGCAGGGGATCCTGAGGGGGCGTTGCGAGCGTACAAGCTGATGTCAGCGAGTGGGTTTGCATGCGACTTGGACCCGCCTTTTTGGAACAAGCTCATCCACGCCGTGGCTGCCGTGCCCTCCGCCCCTGCCTTCGTGGCTTACGGGGTGAGCACAAGGAAGAGGAGGGAGGAGGAATAGGGAGGTGGCTTGGGGAGCAGATCCTTTACATTAAAGGCTGTCTGTGTTCTAAACTATATCACATTTTCCTTAAAGCCTTTAAGCCTCACACAGACAGACAGCCTTGTCGTGAGAATGCTGTGGTGCCATGCGAAGTTCGCCAATCAATCTCAGTTGGTTTTTGCCTCTCGCAGCAATCGATTGGATGTAAGCACTGGGCACAGGCGGCTTGCAAGACACTGCCCTTTCACTTTCATCACCGTTTCTTCTGTGGCATGGCAGTGCTACGAGGGCATGAAGAGATGGGGTCCCACGCCAGATCCGGAAACCTACCAGGGGCTCATGGCAGTGTGTGCCAGGGATGGCGATGCAGCACGGGCGATGGCTCTCAAGAAAGACATGCAGGATGGTGGAGTGGAGGTGACAGCAGCAGTGCTTCATGCGCTCCTGGCCATGCAGCGCCAGGCAGGGCTGTCGGAGGCGGCTGTGAAGACTCTGAAGGAGATGCAAGCAAAGGCTGGGCTCTCGACTGATGTAAGCATTCATGCATGCATTCATGTACAAACTTTAGAAGATGCAAGCCAAGGCGACCCTGTGCACTGATGTGAGGCCTGGTAGCCAATATGCTTCTTCTGTGTGCGTATGTTTAATCCAGACTTCTTTTGAAGCCAAGACTTTGATACTGCTTCTGGCTTTCGCTTCTTCTTTCAATGCTTTTTCTTTTTTTTTTCTTTTTTCTTTTTGTTCGGGGTCCCGTCCCGCTTCCGTGGCTCCTGTAGTTGTCTCACAGCCGCATTTCAACTCTCTTCCACCGCAGGAGCAAAAGGCATGGGGTTGCGAGCTCCTGACAGAAGCCATCGAGAAAGGCGATGCAGCACGGGCGACTGCGCTGAGGAGGGAGGTGGCAGATGGCGACGTGGAGGTGACGGGGGAAGTGCTCCGTGCGCTCATGGCCATGCAGCGCCAGGCGGGGATGTGGGAGGCAGTTGTGGAGTCACTCAAGGAAATGCAAGCAAAAGCGATCTTGTTGACTGATGTAAGGCCTGTTAACTGATGTGCTCCCTTTACTCGCTTACCTTACCAGGTATAGCGTAATGTAGAAATAGACTCGCTATCCTCCCACCGTGGCTCTGGTAATGCCATCTTGCTCATTTAGTCTAATTCTCCGCAATGCTTGTCCACATGATCCATTTCTTTCGCTGCAGGAGGATACGGCATGGGGTCGTGAGCTGTTGATGGAAGCTATCGAGAAAGGCAGTCCCGATGCAGAAACGTTCAACCTGGCCATTGCAGCAAGCCTTGAGGTGCGATTCATCTGCATTCATTGTAGCATTATTTCACCTGCCCAGATGATTGCTTCACTGTATGGTCTGAAGTGTATGCATTCAAAAGACACCTAAAAGGCAGTCTTGATGCATGTACACTCAACTGGTCATTGCAGCCAGCCTTCACGTGCTGTTTCCAGCCGGCCGTTTGCCAGCTAAGCACTATCTCGACTTAAAAATCATTAAACTAGACTTTAGTTCACAAAAGAATGTCATATAACTCTTTCACCACCATCTCTCCCCCACTTTCTCCAGGCAGGGGATCCTGAGGGGGCGTTGCGAGCGTACAAGCTGATGTCAGCGAGTGGGTTTGCATGCGACTTGGACCCGCCTTTTTGGAACAAGCTCATCCACGCCGTGGCTGCCGTGCCCTCCGCCCCTGCCTTCGTGGCTTACGGGGTGAGCACAAGGAAGAGGAGGGAGGAGGAATAGGGAGGTGGCTTGGGGAGCAGATCCTTTACATTAAAGGCTGTCTGTGTTCTAAACTATATCACATTTTCCTTAAAGCCTTTAAGCCTCACACAGACAGACAGCCTTGTCGTGAGAATGCTGTGGTGCCATGCGAAGTTCGCCAATCAATCTCAGTTGGTTTTTGCCTCTCGCAGCAATCGATTGGATGTAAGCACTGGGCACAGGCGGCTTGCAAGACACTGCCCTTTCACTTTCATCACCGTTTCTTCTGTGGCATGGCAGTGCTACGATGGCATGCAGCGGTGGGGTCCCGAACCAGACGAGGCAACGTACCAGGGGCTCATGGCAGTGTGTGCCAGGGATGGCGATGCAGCACGGGCGATCGCGTTGAGGAGGGAGATGGAGGATGGCGGAGTGGAGGTCACAGCAGTGGTGTATACCGCGCTCATCAATGCTCAGGGCAGGGCAGGGGAGTGGGAGGCGGCTGTGGAGACGTTTAATGAGATGCAAGGCAGCACGAAGGGCGAGATGGAGGTAAGCCTTTACCTATTGATTTGAACGTCCATATGAGACGCGGTGCATGGAGGCTAAACGCCCACCTTCCCTCTTTACGACGCCTCAAAACGGCCACGTTCCCGCTCCTTCCCTCTCCCCGGGCCCCCCTCTATTCCACCAGCACCCGCACCAGCCGTCAATGGACACCTACACTCGGCTGTTTGACGCCTGCTTCGGGCCGGACGGAGCTGATCCCGTGATACGGGACGCGATGCAGGAGGGGAAAACGCTCAAGTTCACTCCAGGTTAGATTGGCATGAGATTAGATGACGCGGAGCGGGGATGAGGGAGATTCTTTCTGTTCCTACATGATTGGCACATGTGTGTTGCGTTTGTCTAGTCCTGTGATTTGTCAGTGCTGCCGTCATGCGCACGTGAAAACATGTGATTTTTCACTGCTTTCCTTGTGTCCGCATGCTCACATCTACCCTTCTCCTCCTTCACTGTCGCTGCTCCCAATTCTGTCGCTAGCTCTGCAAGCAACAGGGTCAGTCAATTCATAGAAAGCGTGGGGCTGGCCTTTGTCCCCGGGGTCACCCTGACTCATGTTCCTCTCTGCTACTGCAGCCCTTCGAAGCATGAGTCAGGGTGACCCCTGGGATACCGCGTGGGGCTGGCCTTTCTCCCCTTCCTTGATCCCATGCTCGCATATGCTTATCCATCCCCTTCTCTCGCTCTGTCTCCCCCCCTTTCCCTCACCTGCCTATCAGCGCTACAAGCAGCAGTGTCTATCTTCAGAGAGGCAGCAGCTAAGGGCGTCTTTCCCCCGGCTTTGACTGCAGATCCTTTCACGTAAGTTCAATGAGAGATCATTACAATAGCTGTTCCCATGTGCTTGATGGTGCGTGTGAGTTCTCATGAGTTCCCCAAAGCTCCACACATAACCTGTTTGGTGGCATTTCTTTATGCCCCTTCTTGTACATTCCAACTTTCCACCCACTAGTTCACGCCTCTCAGGTGTTGTGCCGACTGTTAAGTACCTGAACTTCCTTGGCCCGCCAATTCACCCTCTCAGGCTTTACGTGGTCGACTGCACTCGCCCTGTCGCGGCTGCGGCGCTGCTTTCGCTGCTTCTGCGTCTCGCCTCCTCCTCCACTGCTGGCTGTAATGATGCCTCGTGGCTGCAGAACTTGGTTATTGTCACGGCAACCTTGTATCGACAGGTGGGTGATGTGTGTCTTGTGAGGCGCCTCAGAACGTTGCTTCTGCGCCCCGCCTTCTCGTTGATTGGTTGTGATGCCGCATTGCTGCGCAACCTGGTTACCGTCACAGCAGCAACCTGGTTACCGTCACAGCAGCAACATTGCGCGCACAGGTGGGTAGGGCATGGCATTCCGTTGCTGTGAATGAATGGGGCTTGCATGCTGCTCCAATCAGATCATTACATGCCGAGTTTTGAGTCGACTCAAAAATCGAGTTATCACACATTGCACGCACAGGTGGGTGGGGCATGGCATATTGTGTTGTGAATGGATGGGGCTTGCAGCTCGCACCGATCAGATCATTACGTGCCCAGGGATTTTGTTGTTGCGCTGCAACGCGTGTGCATGACATTTCATGCACATGATGCCGTGGTGACAAAACTACGACTTTTGAGACGTCCCAAAAGTCATTCTATGCACATAGTGGCTTATGGTGTCATTGTGTCTTAACTATGTGATCACATGCTGGTCTACCTGCAGTAGAGTTCAAGGCAAGGCAAGGAAATGCTTGCCACGTGCTGTGTTATACGCACTTGACTTTTTAACGTCTTTTCCCTCACAGCATACATCTCGAATGTCCCATCTCCCATCCCTTGTCTCCCATCTCTCATCTCCCATCTCCCATTTTCAATTGCCCATCTGCCATCTCTCTTTGTTCAGTCGCAAGCAGCGGACGAGGCTCCACCACAGGAGCCATGCCCAGACCTCCAAGGGACGATGGAGGCAATGCTGCAGGCGCTGGGGCTGAAGGGAGAGAGGCTGCATGGCACGAGCGCGCTGCAGGGGCTGTGTGTCGACAGGGAGGACCTGCGCCTCTGGCTCAACACACAGGCTGCCTCCGTGTTCCTCGCATGATGGTGTGAGCGCGTGGCATGAGAGCATGGCATGAGAGCGTGGCATGAGAGCATGGCATGAGAGCATGGTGGCATGGTGGTGTAGCGGAATTGCAGCATAGCAGAATGGCAGCATAGCGGAATGGCAGCATAGCGGAATGGCAGCATAGCGGAATGGCAGCATAGCGGAATGGCAGCATGGAGACATGAGCCATGGTGACATGAAAACAACATGCCAGCTTGAACGCAGGTGGTTTGAAATTCAGCATGGCATGTAGGTACTTGGTTGCATCTAGCTGTTCTTGAAATTCACCCATACACTGTACAATTTTGTATATAGCTGTTCTCGAACCTCCCCTATACGTTGCATAAAGCTGATGCTATGACGTCTGTGCTGCTGCGATTGGATCAGCCATAGCTGATCTGTTTATTGCCCCTATCAGTTGTGGGAAGCTGATTTAGGATTGCCTGCTAGCTACCCCCTGCCTGCTATTGTTTACCCCAACGAAACCCTCTTCTCGGCCACAGGACCACATGATAGAAGTTTGAGTTTCGAGTTGTCTCACAACTCCATCCATCTGCAAGGTTCTCAACAAATTGAGATCCTCATCCATGGAGGAATCGCCATGCCAACTGAATCCAGCGCGCATGCAAGCACCTAACCTTGCTCCGCTGTATAAGGCTGAGCCTGCCGATGGTGCCCATACCCTGAGCCTCGCTTTGAGGCGCCTCAAAACGGAATCAAGCGCGAATGCTTTCGCCAAAAGCTTGCTCCGCTGTATAAGGCTGAGAGGCTGAGCGAGCCAATGTTGAGGTGACTTTTGAGTCGACTCATATAAGTCACCTATACCTTCACCAAAAGCTTGCTCCGCTGTATAAGGCTGAGCCTGCAGATGGTGCCTATACCCTGAGCCTCGCTGTCACATTGCATATCCTAGCTTAACTTTGCACCATACCACTGATGCTTTTTGCTGTGTAGTGTCTGCTCGTGCATTCGCTTACACATTGTTATCCTTTACCCCCATAAGCTTGCTCGCTTGTCTTCGATAGTACTCTTAACACTGTCCCATAGCTCTTATAATGAACAAACCTTGTTCAAGGTTTGTTATTGCCGATTATTGCACTTCTACCTAGGCCTACAGTAGTGTCATCCCTCACACCCCATTGAAGTTATCAACAGCGGGATGCGTATGGCCACCGACAAAGATCCACACTTGCACTGAAATAGTCAAAGCTGGTACAGAGATTCGAGCGGGAGGAAATGCCGGCTGGTGGTGGCGTTAAATCGGCTGCCGTGCCGTGCCGTGTCAGTCAGAGATGCGGATTTCCACGTGGAGAAGATCTCTCATGACCTCGTACGTGACAAACGCAATGGCAATGGATGGCACCACCTGGCGCGACAAATGGGGCCACAGGGGAACAGAAACACGAGTTTCGAAAGATGGACGCACTATGAGCAGGTCCCTCATGCTTTCATACGTCACAGAAGAAATGGCCGTACAAGGTACCACCTGTTGTGATACACAGGAACAGAGGGGCAGAAAAACACGATAAACATGCTTTTGAGTCGACTCAAAAGCACTTAGAAAGGCGGGCTTCTCACTCTGCCGACAACAGCGACAGCGACGGGGAACAGCGGCTGATGGCTGATGGCTGATGGCTCCGCATCGTGTCTCATACAGAGGCCGTGGGGGTGCGACGGGGAATGGGGGGGAGCGGAGAGGGGAAGAGGGGGGGAGGGGGGGAGGCAGGGCAGGGAACAATACACAAACACCAGCACACCAACGTGTGCGGCTGTGTGTTTGAAGTGTGGTTTTGAGACGTCTCAAAACAAACATGAACACACCAACGTGTGCGGCTGTGTGTTTGAAGTGTGGTTTTGAGACGTCTCAAAACAAACACCAACACACCAATGTGTGCGGCTGTGTGCTTGAAGTGTAGTTTTGAGACGTCTCAAAACAAACACCAGCACACCGTGTGCGGCTGTGTGTTTCAAGTGTAGTTTTGAGACGTCTCAAAACAAACACCAACACACCAACGTGTGCGGCTGCATCAACACACAACCCAGTCTCACCTCGGCAGAATTCAGCAAATTCGACAGAAACCCAACTAGAACAAGCGAGTCTCTCTCACCTTGACAGAGTTGGGCACGAGCCCCTTAGCGCCCGCACACCCTCCATCTGCACGGTCTTCCGGAAAGCATCCACCATGCCCGTGTACTGCAGTGCCGCTGCCACCGTGCCGTCCACCCTCACCACACCCACTGCAGTGCCCTGCCTGCTCCCTGCTTGCCCTTATGTTCACTTCAGATTTCCATCGCGCTTCCTCTCAGCTCAGCGCACAGGAACTAAACCGGCTCAAAACAGCTTCACCTTCACACCCTTCGACACAGAGTGTGAAATCTCACCTTGACAGAGTTGGGAACGAGTCCCTTGTAAAGCGCCTTTACCCCCTTCCATCTGCACAATCTTCCTGAAAGCATCCACCATGCCCGTGTACTGCGGTGCCGCTGCCACCGTACCATCCGCCCTCACCACACCCACTGCACTCCCTGTTTCCTGCTTACCTGCGGTGCACTGCCTTCCCTGCTTGCCCTCAGATTCACTCGGATTCCCTCCGAACCAGCAAGAGCCAATCTCACCTTGACAGAATTGGGCACGAGTCCCTTGTAGAGCGCCCGCACCCCCTCCATCTGCACGGTCTTCCGGAAAGCATCCACCATGCCCGTGTACTGCGGCGCCGCAGCCACCGTACCATCCGCCCTCACCACACTCGCCGCGTCCCGCCAACCCACCATCTGCAGCCTCCTTCGAATCACATCCAGGGGGTAGGCGACTGTCTGCCCCAGAGTGCCCGCCACAGCCCCGCACGCGAGTTTTGTGAGGACTGACAGCTCCCCGATCTCGGGGTTGTCGGGGTGCTGTGCCGCGTACATTCTTCCCAGCTGGTCCTTGAGGGTTTCGTAAACTGCAAAGTTGAGCCCCACGTAGGGGACCTGATTCATGGGGGAGCAATGGGGAATGGGGCAGAAGGAATACAGGAAAAGGGATGGGATGCGGAATGAGGGGAAGGAAGAGCGCGGGAGTGGATATGATATCCCGCAAAGAGTGGATATGATATCCCGCAAAGAGTGGATATGATATCCCGCAAAGAGTGGATATGATATCCCGCAAAGAGTGGATATGATATCCCGCAAAGAGTGGATATGATATCCCGCAAAGAGTGGATATGATATCCCGCAAAGAGTGGATATGATATCCCGCAAAGAGTGGATATGATATCCCGCAAAGAGTGGATATGATATCCCGCAAAGAGTGGATATGATATCCCGCAAAGAGTGGATATGATATCCCGCAAAGAGTGGATATGATATCCCGCAAAGAGTGGATATGATATCCCGCAAAGAGTGGATATGATATCCCGCAAAGAGTGGATATGATATCCCGCAAAGAGTGGATATGATATCCCGCAAAGAGTGGATATGATATCCCGCAAAGAGTGGATATGATATCCCGCAAAGAGTGGATATGATATCCCGCAAAGAGTGGATATGATATCCCGCAAAGAGTGGATATGATATCCCGCAAAGAGTGGATATGATATCCCGCAAAGAGTGGATATGATATCCCGCAAAGAGTGGATATGATATCCCGCAAAGAGTGGATATGATATCCCGCAAAGAGTGGATATGATATCCCGCAAAGAGTGGATATGATATCCCGCAAAGAGTGGATATGATATCCCGCAAAGAGTGGATATGATATCCCGCAAAGAGTGGATATGATATCCCGCAAAGAGTGGATATGATATCCCGCAAAGAGTGGATATGATATCCCGCAAAGAGTGGATATGATATCCCGAAAAGAGTGGATATGATATCCCGCAAAGAGTGGATATGATATCCCGCAAAGAGTGGATATGATATCCCGCAAAGAGTGGATATGATATCCCGCAAAGAGTGGATATGATATCCCGCAAAGAGTGGATATGATATCCCGCAAAGAGTGGATATGATATCCCGCAAAGAGTGGATATGATATCCCGCAAAGAGTGGATATCTTTCCACTGTAGACGCTGGTCGAAACAATCAGTTACCAGAACATTTTTCACTGCAATCAACCATGACAGGAACCACTCACTACGCCATTAATAGAAGGCAGTCAGCCCTTATACAGGGCGCGCACGCCCTCCTCCTCCACTATAGTCACATCCACTAACTAACTATGGCAGAACCGTCACTCACCACACCGATGACGGACGGCAACCAGCCCCTATAGAGGGCGCGAACGCCCTCCTCCTTCACTATAGTCACCGCTGCATGACGCATGCCCTTGTAGCGCTGCTCCCCCTTCCTGCCGGACTGGTGGGTGGGTAAGGTAGATGGGCAGGCGGGGTTGGGCACGGGAGGCGGGAAAGGGGAGAAGCAATGTGATTGTCATGAGAGGATGGAAGGGGTGAGAAGGATGGTTGGTGCACATGGCATGGTGGCGCATGGCCTAGTGGTGGTAAGCTGATGGTGGGAGCATGCGCAGAGAAGATGTGAGAAGGGCAGAAGGGGACAAGGTCCGTAGACAACCATGCCATGCCGTGCCATGTCATGTCATCCCATCTCAAGCCATGTCATGCCATGCCATGCCACGCCACATGGCGCACCTGCGAAGTGAGGGGCACCGCACCTGTATCATGCCACGCCACGGAGTATGTGGCTGGCATGGCGATGATGCCTGTCTACAAACTCATACGCATTCACAGAATCACCGCACTTGTCCATCCCACCCACCATACCCATCACCGACCTGCACGGTGAGGCGCCCTCGAACCATGTCCATGGGGTATGTGGCAGACATGGCGATGATGCAACAGGCCCGCACATGGCCACACATGACAGAAGCATCCAACCCATCCCACCTGCACGGCGAGGCGCCCTCGAACCATGTCCATGGGGTATGTGGCAGACATGGCGATGATGCAACAAGCCCGCACATGGCCACACATGACAGAAGCATCCAACCCATCCCACCTGCACGGTGAGGCGCCCTCGAACCATGTCCATGGGGTATGTGGCAGACATGGCGATGATGCAACAAGCCCGCACATGGCCACACATGACAGAAGCATCCAACCCATCCCACCTGCACGGTGAGGCGCCCTCGAACCATGTCCATGGGGTATGTGGCGGACATGGCAATGATGCCTGCCGTCGCCCCTGCTCCCAGCCGCAGCACTGGTGTCAGCTCAAGGTCTGAAGGGAGAGGAATGGGGCGGGTGGGGGGGTTGGGTTGCGGGGTTGATTGGGGGTGCATTCATGGCCTTATGCGCACCGCACAGGACTGCTCCCAGCCGCTCTGCAGCACACGTGTGAGCTCCAGGTCTGAAAGGATAGGGAGGGGTGAGGGGGAAGGGGGGAGGGACGGGGGAAGGGGAGGACGAGATGGCGTAACATGCAAAACAAACCTAGTAGTACCTTGCCTCAAACTACAGTGGCAGGGGCAGAAGCAGAGAGAGAGGCAGAGGCAGAGGGAGAGGCAGAAGCAGAGAGAGAGGCAGAGGCAGAGGGAGAGGCAGAAGCAGAGAGAGAGGCAGAGGCAGAGGGAGAGGCAGAAGCAGAGAGAGAGGCAGAGGCAGAGGGAGAGGCAGAAGCAGAGAGAGAGGCAGAGGCAGAGGGAGAGGCAGAAGCAGAGAGAGAGGCAGAGGCAGAGGCAGAGGCAGAGCAGTGAAAAATGTCGAGGCACTTACTGGGATCGTTAGACTGCTGCTGGGCCAACCAGAGAAGACCACTGGGGGGTGGGGTGAAGAGAGAGGATGGGTTGGAAGGAGTAAAAGGGGGAAGAGAGAAATGTGGTAAAAAACATGCTTTTTTCATTCTATTTTTTCACAATCATAGAGAAAAAAAATACTAAGCATAGGAAGGGCATACTTCGAAGAAGGAGCCAGCCCACTAGGCTGCTTCCTCACTAAACAACTGGTGGTGTCAATGCCGCTTCATAAGGGAGACAAGTGCCCTAGGCACCTCACTGACAACCGTTTCTATTAACTCACTGAGCGGCCTCCTCATAAGCAAAGAACTTGACAGCAGAGTTGGGCACGATGCGAGCACAGTTGGTGACATTGCCACAGCTGGCGGTGTCACTTTTACCTTAGAATATGGACATGAATCCCAAACTAACGACTCACTGTGCGGCCTCCTCATAAGCAAAGAACTTGACGGCGGAGTTGGGCACAATGCGAGCGCAGTTGGTGCCGTTGCCGCGGAAGAGCCCTCGGATGCCCTCCTCCCGCCAGATGGTCTTGAGCCCCTGCCACGTGCCACTGTAGTGTGCGTGCTGCGCGTTCTGCACCTGGAGAGATGAATTGGGAAGAGAGAGGAGAGTTGAGGAATTGGAGAGGGAGGGTTAAGTCTGAGTGGCAGGACAGACCGGCCTTTTGAGTCGACTCAAAAGTCAATTGGAGAGGGAGGCTTAAGTCTGAGTGGCAGGACAGACCGGCCTTTTGAGTCGACTCAAAAGTCAATTGGAGAGGGAGGCTTAAGTCTGAGTGGCAGGACAGACCGGCCTTCCGATGCCCTCCTCCCGCCAGATGGTCTTCAGCCCCTGCCATGTGCCGCTGTAGTGTGCGTGCTGCGCGTTCTGAACCTGTGGTGTAGAGAGGAGGGGCGCATCGGGGAATACATGTTGATATGGCTGCTGCTGAACAGCCCTCGGATTGATGCCCTCCTCCCGCCAGATGGTCTTCAGTCCCTGCCACGTTCCGCTGTACTGTGCGTGCTGCGCGCTCTGCACCTGTGGTGTTGAGAAAGGGAGGGAGGAATTGAGCGAGGGGAGAGCATGTCTGGAAGAGGGGAGGGGGGGTCTAGGTAGGGTAGGTAAATGGGGCAGAACAGATCCCTGGTGTCATTTTAGCCATCTCATCAATCATGTAATCTGCATCAGCTATCAGTGCCCAATAAGCCATATTGGCACCGCCACCGCCAACCCTGCAGCCACGACAACACTATAGAACCACCACCCATGGCCAACATACCTGCAGCAGGATCTTCATTCGCTCAAGGGGCGCCACTGCCGACCTCGACCTGCATCCATGCCAGCAATGCCACGTCGTGCCACGCCATGCAATGCCAATCCATACCACAACCAGGGAGGGAGAATGGGGAATGATGAGGAGAGGGGGGGGACGGGTGTGGGGGGGATACAGGGTTTAGCATATAAGTTCAAGCCTGGCTAAACCCCGGAAGAATGTCAAAAACCCTTGTAGCGACGGGTTGCAGGTAGTAAGAAACACGGCCATGTTGCGAGAAAGTGCGCCTCGCCTAGTCTTCGTGGCTGATGGTTACCGCATCGCTAACTGCCACTCCTCTTACGGCGCCTCAACAACCACTTTTTCAAGGCGGTAATCATGTAAGAAAATCAGTTACACTAGATCCACTGCCATCTGGTTACCAACTTGCACACCTCCGGCGACGCCCCTATTGATGAGCTATGGGCGAAACTGGCTACCACCGCGCGGATATATCGATATTGTCTTAGCGAAGACTCACACTCCTCCTGCGACGCCTCCGGCGATCAGCGATTTCGTGATCGACGCCACCGTCAATCGCGGCTCCACTTTCTCCGCTGCGCCGGCTCCGCCTTCCCCCGCGCCGGGACCTCCGGCGGGAGGCACGGGCGGAACGAGCTCCTCCGCGAATCCGATCGTCGACGACGGCGGCGGCTCGTGAACGGACGGATGGATTTCCGCCGCGACTGCTGCCGCTGCAGCCGCTGCAGCTGCTGACGGAGCCGCCGCTGCCGCCGCAACCGCCGCCGCCGCCGCCGGCGCAGCCGGCGCAGCAACAGCGGGTTGGCATTGCGCGATCCGCCCAGATCCTGCGGCGGCTGCGGCTATGGCAGCTGTGATGGCGCTACGAGCATTGAGGAGGAACGGAGCTGCGAATGCCGAGCCAGACTGAGAGGTTCGAGAGCTAGGGTTCGCGATGGAAGGTCGGGTGCGGTGGTGATGGGTGAAGGACGGCGGATCGTTGATCATGTGCGGAGGGGATCTGGTTCTGGAGTGCGAAAAAGGCTGATGGTTTGATGGATCCATGGATGCGAACCGCCAAGCTCGCTAGATGGAGGACGGGCGAGACGCCGCCGATATCGGGACTAACCGAGCCTCACGACACCTTTAAATGTCTAATAAGCGACGCTCGATATTGCGGCGCTCCGAAGATCCTCGCGACACGAGAGCTACCGGCAGACCAAGCAGAGGCGTCTGCAGAAATGCTGGTAATAATTGCAGCAAGAACCCTCGTCAAGCAATCTGATCCGCCAGCAACCAGCAAATAGGCAGGCCCGCTTCCCCGCTCCAGGCCTATCTTGAAGCAAGAGACGCAGGAAAAAAGTCCCGATGAGACGAATCTCCCAAGGGGCCAAGGGGCGTCCCTCCCAGAAAAAGCCCCAGTAACGAAGGGCTTGGAGGAAGAAATGCAGACGTTTTATGAACGGTGGAAAGGAACAGAAGTGTGGGGGAGAAGTTCGTGTGTTGTAAAAGAAGAGAAGCGCGAGCCTCGAGAGAGGCTTGGTGGAGAGAGGAAGGGCTTCGGGCAGACAAGTGTGGAAGCGGGCACCACGGAAATGATAGTATATTCAACATCTAGGGCCGTAAATGATGCTACCGAACCAAAGTAACTCAGCTTTAGTCCTGCCCGTCGGTTTTCACCCCCAATGAAAATCAGTTCGAGCTACCCGTCACCCAAACCAAGCTGTGTGTGGTGCAAACCGCATGCACACGCTCGGAGTGTCCAGCTCACGCGACACGAAACCCGTCGGAAAACGATGAACCCCTTCAACCAATCGTGGAGGACAGACACAAGCTTGCCCAATCCCCATTGCCCACTTTCCAGTGGCTCCCAATCGAAGTCAGGACGCTTCGATCGAAGACACCTTCCATGGTGGACCACGTGCTGAAGGGTTGACTGGAAAATCAGCCAGCACATGATACCCGCAATAACCTGCGCAGTGAGCGAGTGTTCAGTCTCGGAAAACAAAAGTAAATGGCCCATACAGGTTTCGAACCTGTGGCCTTCGCGTTATTAGCACGACGCTCTAACCGACTGAGCTAATGGGCCTGTGAGAATGGAAGTTGCTAAGTTTTTGAAAACATATTGGTCTTGGTAGGAGACGTCTTCGACACATACTTATCTAGCAAGAGGAATGGTTCACCTTGTTTTTGTCCAAATGGTCACCCATTAGGTTTGCGGATGAAGCGGATGTAGACAATAGGCTTTGAAAATAGACAAGGTGGCCAAGGTTAAGAAGGGAGGCAAGGGCTTGTGGTTACGCCAAATCGTGTTGGGGTATAGATAGGGGGAAGGATGTTGTAGTGGAGTATATAGGGGTGGGACAGAAGGCAGTGGGCGCCGAAAGGGAATGGGACAAAACAGCGTGCGACTGTTTTGATGGGGGTGGCTCCAAATCATTGAATATCGCGTTGGATTGTGAATGCCAGCATATGGGCTGATGGGGAGATAGCACTGAAGCTACCATGCTGGACCGAGTTGGATAGGAGGTGATTAAAGATGAGATGAACCGCGAGGCTTGACTATCAGTAGTATGAGGAGGGGAGGAATTTGTCACCGGCCATGTTTAGGAGAGAGACAGTATCAAGAGGGACCAACTGAACCGGCCAGGAAAAGAGAGCACCTTCCAGCAGATGGTCGTCGCGTGCAAGTCTACGGGGTATCTGACCGTACACAGGATGCGCATGAGGGTGGTGTTCCAGGTTGTAAATCCATGGATGCATTCATCTTCACGCGGGGCCAGGATGGGGATAGTCCTGACCTGAGTGAAAACTATAACGGGCGGGCTGAACAAGAGGACGGGGTGTTCGCAGGAAGCCGAGGCAATGAGGCAATCACATCACATCCCAATTCCTGGTCAAAGGTTAGAAAGAGGGTGACGTCCTCTATATTGCAGGTCATCAGGTGGTGTTACGGAGAGGGGGTAGCCAGTCAGGAACAGGGAAATGAAGCGATGGAAAATTTTAATGACGCAAACGAAGAAGGGGGGAGCAAGAGGGCAGCATTGACTGAGACCCATACGGTCCAAGAATGGGGAGCCAATTAGATTGTTGAGAAATACACGATTTGGCGTGTTGGATTGCATGACATGAATTGAGCGAATGAATCGTACGGAACACTAAGCCAGGGGAGAGCGCGGAGGCGGAATGGCTGGTCTAATTGCAAAAGTCGACCGTGACGGCAAACAGAGGGGATGTAGTGACGGCGGCCCAATCTATAATATTGAAGGTGTCATTGATAGTTTTGTATAATTTGCAATGCTTGTTAAAGGCGGTTTGGGATGGGTTGATAATCTGGGGGGATCGGTTTGGAGGCAGTGGGCAAGACAAATAGTGAGATTTTTGTAGTACGAGTTCGTGAGGGTGATGGGGCGGAGGTTTTCAACTTGTGGGGACGAGGACGGCTACCTATAAGCATGGAAGGTGGGAGGTAGGAGATGGGAGGAGAGGATGTGAACAAGGTGAGAAAGGCAATGCAAAGAAAGGCAGGGGCGAAGAAAGGAAGGGGTCAGGAGGGGGCATGAGCGGAATAGTCGCCTCAACATGCAACATCGAAGTTAGGTCGAAAGGGCAGAAGAGGCGAATGAGACAACAATGTACGCGTGCAGGAGCAAGGCGGTCCATGGCGGCTGACCGCGGGCCTAAGGGGTTTCCTGAGTCACGAGGCCATGCACAAGCGGTGGCAAGAGAGAGGATGTGAACGAAAAAGCGTTGGCCACAATGATTCACGAAGATGGACTGGGAGCTTGAACAATAACTTGAGTTTGAAGGCAATGCAGAAAGGCTGGGGCGGCGGGGCGAGGTGGGAGAGGAGAAGGAGAAGCGAGCATCGGATAAAAAGCAAGGGAAAGACATAATGCCATGTGACATAGCAAACCGGACGATCTAGAAACGACTGAGAGAGGCATGAGGGTGCATAGACAGTCTCTCTTTGGTATATGAACGGGTGAGATAACGCTGTCAGGCTTGAGAGGTTGGCATCGCTTCCAAAAGTAGAACCGGGGGGGGGGGGGGGGGGGGGGGGTATGGGGAGATGTATGCATTACTGTAACAGGTTATGGGTAGTGGGCATTGCAAAGGAGCGGGCAATGAACTTTTCGTGCTGCAGCCGCTGCAGAACCGAGCCGCAAAGAAGTGCGGGGACATGAAGTGCCAACCAAAGAGATAACAATGGCAGATGCGTCGAGCAAGATGCTGGAAAAGCTTTATCTGGAAGGGGAAAACGTCGTAGAAAGTTTGGACATTGTTGTGAGCATACAGAAGTGAGAGGGGGCAAGGCGATCATACAGAAGTGAGAGGGGGCAGGGTGATCACACAGAAGTAAGAGGGGGCGAGGCGATCACACAGAAGTAAGAGGGGGCGGGGCGATCATACAGAAGTGAGAGGGGGGCGGGGCGATCACACCAAAGTGAGAGGGCGGGGCAATCACAGAGAGAGAGAGAGAGAGAGAGAGAGAGAGAGAGAGAGAGAGAGAGAGAGAGAGAGAGAGAGAGAGAGAGACCAGCCATTGGGCAGACCTTACAGGAGGGTGTTGGCTTGGCCTGATCACAGTTGGGGTCGCATGGTTGCACGCTAGCCGGCCAAATACCTAGACTGTTTGCTTAATACCAAGATAATATCTCTTGCATGCCTAGGGTTTGCTTGCTAAGATTTTACACATGCCTTGCTTGTACCCTGTATACACATTAATGAAAGACCGCTTGAGAGAGAGAGAGAGAGAGAGAGAGAGAGAGAGAGAGAGAGAGAGAGAGAGAGAGAGAGAGAGAGAGAGAGAGAGAGAGAGAGGAACCTTAGCCCTCTGCCCTCTGCCCTCCGTGCCTACTTAAGGGCTGCTCGTGCCTCTCCTTGCTCATTATTTCGTGTGGGTTCGGTTTTTCAGCGGCTTCGAGCAAGAGAGAGAGAGAGAGAGAGAGAGAGAGAGAGAGAGAGAGAGAGAGAGAGAGAGAGAGAGAGAGAGAGAGAGAGAGAGAGAGAGGAACCTTAGCCCTCTGCGCCCTGCCCTCCATGCCTACTTAAGGGCTGCTCGTGCCTCTCCTTGCTCATTATTTCGTGCGGGTTCAATTTTTCAGCGGCTCGCGCCGGCGGCCTTCAGCCACCGCCGCTCGCAAGCGCGGCCTTCGGCCGCGCGCTCTTGGTGGCAAGAGAACAAGCGAAGGATCGGCTTATACAGAAAGCACACACACAAATCAAGCAAGGGAGAAGGGCGACAACAAGAGCTACGGGGATGCAGTACTACACGCGGAGGAAGCCTACATCGTGTACAGCTCTGCCCCCTCCACCTCAAGCATCGAGTGCATGCACGCCGACATCGCAAGGAGGAGATGCGCCGACGACTGAAATGTGTCCACTGGGGTCCCGACTCGAGCAGCTCCAACAAGGTCCCCCACGTGGCGGGGGAAAGTACGCGCTAAGGGCGCTACCCCGGCGGGCGCTTCCGACACGGGTGCCAACGGCGACTCGAGAGATTCTGCCATATAGACGCAGGATCCTCGGGACCCTGGACCGTAACTGCTCGGAAAGTTCCGCGTGGCCCCACACACCGCCAGTTGCAGGTTCCCCACCACCTCGCACGCCTCCGCCAGATTCAGAATCCGGCACATGGTCAGCATGGGGTCTCTCCCCGCGTGAGTGGGGGGAGGTGTAGTCGGAGCTTCGCGCGGAAACGCCGTCGGCCAGCCAGGAGTCCGGCCAACAGAGAAGCGCTGCGCGGAGAAGCCCGGGACCTGACGAGGGGTGCGAAACTGGGCCCTCCCCTCCCGCGCGGGCAGATATTTGCGCAGCGTCGGCGCGCGCAGAGGAGCCACCGGGCCAGGGTCCAAGTCGAGGGGAGGACCGTTGGTCACCGCAATGTGTACGTGACTCTCCTCCCCACTCGCCCGCGCCCGCCGCACCACTTCCGCAAACGCATTCGTGGCCCGATCGAGGGCAGGATCTTGCCCGCGACCATTACCGCCACGCCCACCGCCATT